GAAGAATGAAACTAATGTTATACAATATATTATACATTTGCTACTCAAAACTATAAAAATTTACAGGATGTCCCATTAAATATATTAAAATGTATTTTATTGGGCATTCCCTGTATATTAAATTGAATTAATTACTACATCTTTAGTGAATACGGACTAAAAAGTTTATCTGAAACTTCTTTTGTGTTTCAAAAATGAAAGAAAATAAGTGGGGGTCAAAATTTACTGAGAAAGCCTGTATACATTATCCTTATAGCTTTGCAGTTCCTAAATAACTATGCCATTTTTATTTAATTCTCCGTCATGAATTAATCTACCGTAAAATAATTAATGGTCAGGTATTTTTGCAAGTTGAAACCACCAGCATTCATGACCACAACGCATTTAGGTACTGTAGTGGGACATCTTATATTATACCACTCACCTTCTCCGACACTCAGACTTCCTAGATACTGCACATTTCTACTCAAACTGTGTCAAAAATATTTCAAAATTCCTCTAACTGGAATTGATGAATTTTATTCAACAACAAAATTGCACTCCTTTTAGTTAAGTCAGTTATTTCCTTACTCTACAATAAATGGTTTTTAACTGCCCCTCGAGCGCTCTCTTCACAAGTTAAATATCCAATCCTTAAGAACAACATAAAGCAATTAGGCATACTATAAACATAAATTTTTCGCCTTTATTTCTTTAGTATTATAACCGAATTCTGTGTATGTCCCACGTCATAAATTATTAATTTTTTTTGTTATTTTATTTTTTATATTCTGTTTTGTTTAAAAACTGGTTTATACGAAAAAGGGCACGTTACGCATATCAGTAATATCGAGGATCTAACATCTCCGTGAATGAATTAATTAGTCATATTAGATCGTAATTACTATGTAGTTTTAGCTTAAGTACAGCATCCCAGTGCCATGTAATTGGAATACTGCATTCTGTATGGTATCTGGCTAAACAAATAAACAAATAAATGGGCATCTTAAATAACTTTCGTCTACGAAGTTATAAAGTGCGTACGAATTCATTATTTCTATTTTCAAATTTCAGTTAAAACAAAGAATACTTAATAATTACTCTTTGGTTAAAGTTAATAATTCTTCCTGCTTAATTGTTAATTAACAAGTGAATCACTTCAGTAATTACTGTTTCAGACCAATGTTTCTATACACAGAAAATAATTTTAAATAAATCGATCATTTAGCGGCCCATCAGTCTACATTTTACACCCGAAATCGCCCGACTAGTCAGTTCGTCCCTGGTTAAATCATCTTTGGATTTAATGGCATTACAGTGATATGTGAATTAAAGAGCTAATTTTATATGAATCCTTTTTAAAGTCACTTGATATTCCAAAAAAAGTAGCAACAATCGGCACCTAAAGAACCTTAATAATTTGCCGTTACTCGAATCCGTTCTCCGCAGGTATAAACTGCATTTCTCTAGAAGAGTTCTATTCTAAATCGTTGAGTAACTCAAAAAATGTGTGCCATAAGGGAAAATATCCTAAATATTCACAAATTTGATGTATTAGAAGATTTTTAATGTTATAACATTGACAGTGTTCATTACTTGTCATCATCATTTTGGAGAGGGAACCATATATACGTTTTTCAACTTGGGGGATTTTCTATACACCCGAGATCTCCCGTTGGTACATTCTCCTTTCAAAACGTTCAAAACCAATAATGATTGTAATCATTTTCGAGAGCGAGCCATCGACGATCCTTTTCTTGTGGAGCAGCATTCCATACCAAAACCCGGGGAAAGGGGCTTCGATGATTTTCCCTCGAAAATAATGATGATGACAAGTACTGAAAAATGTGAATGTGTTAAAGGGAGTGCACGTGACCGGGGGTCCCCAGAAAATAGAACTTCTATGGATTTCCGGTTATGCATTCACCCCTAAAAACCTTTCCAGTCATTACTTGTCATCATTTCTTTCGAGGAGGAACCACTGACAGTAGTAATCACTATTGAAGAATTTTACGGTTGATGGGTTCTTCAAGGGAAACCTCTTATTAAAGGTTTTTAAAGACTCCCAAAACCAATTAAATGTCTTTAAAGCTCTAGAAAACCCTTAGAGTTTCTGAAAAACGCTTTAGAGACCCACGAAGACTCTTAAAGGTTTCTGAAAACGGTAAAAACCTTTATAAGATTTTAATATCGTTTAAAATCCTCTTTGCTTCAAGGGTCTCTAAGTGTATTACGGGATCTTTAAAAACGTCAGTCAGACAAAAAAATTCCTGTGGTTCTCAAGAGCCTATTAGTCTTCTAGAGGAATCCCCAAAAGACATTTTTTAATGACTTGCAATTTAAAATTTTGAGGTTATCATCTCCTATAAGAACTCCCCAGTAGGAAAGTTTCTTTCGTTTGCAATTTAAATCTCCGTGCGGGGACTTTTGGAAGGCCCTGTATAATCCAGCTATTTGACTTGATATATCATTAATTTCCAATATCTTAGACCTTTTAATTGAAAATATCTAAGATATTTTAAATAATATAATTCTTCAATCAATAATGGTTGAATTAAAACTTTTCAAAGACGCTGATATGTTATTTATAACTATTACCATTGTTGTACACCTCATATAGCGGTAGAACGACCAGGAAATGGAAGTTGGAGTCGTTGTAGTTAATTGATGGATTAGGAAAAAGGTAAATGCCACCTTGAAAACTTTTCCCACCTTATCGTTAATGAGCACATTATGCGAAAGTAACATGAATTATGTAATGACAACTTGTACCGCAGATTTTTGATTGACGTTTTGTATAAAGAATCGGATATAATATAGCAATGTTGTGATAAATAAATGGAGAATAGTTGTACTTGACAGCAGGTAGGAGCAAATACAATCATTCAAGTGACATATATCTTCTGCCGATTTTAAAATTTCTCGATTAAGTTAACACAGAAAATCTTTTAGTGCAAATTGTTTTTTCCGATTATAACATGCGTTTGTATGGGTACCTATTACAGGTATTCATTCGTGAGAATGACGAATTGACAATTAAGTGAAATTGATCGCTACATTTAGATTATAATTTCTAATTTATATGGTTCTCATAAATAGTAGTAATGGGATAATAATTATTACTATATAGAAATTATGAAAGTTTCAATATTATTGTTGATTTGAAGATTAATAGCTAATAACTTTTCCCACAAATACTGGGATTGTATTGATGGATCTTCACTTTATGCAGATGCTAATATAATGGAAGACATGGCATACATTTTTTTTACGGGAACCTGAGAAGGTTTAGGAGATTCTAATAATTTTTTTATCTAAAACCGTCAAATAAAGAGGTCATTATATGTTAAATTTTATTGGAAAATGAAATAATCACATGGAATCCATGGAAAACTCGTCGTAACGCCTTCGATTTGTTCCATGTAGGTAGGTACTGTATAATAATTGTCACCTTCAGTCACAACACAACCCATTTTATTTTTACTTGAGAAATTAATTTCTTCGTCCAAAGCTTTTTGAAATTACACTTTTCTGGGGTGCTATTAGAAGTTTTAAAGATCATAATGACCATAAAAAGGTCGTGAGCAGATTCTAAAATTCTAAGTCAAAGACTGTGCAAAAATTCTAAAATTCAGGACTTCAGGAATTGTATTATTAAGCTATGGTGGAAATGAAATCCGTCCTTTCTGCGTCGTTTAATTTCTGTAAAGCATTGTTTTGTTAATGGGTTCCGCATGTCTGGAGCCTAGGTTTCGGGGTTTTGGATCATATATTCAGTTATATGAACTAGGGCTATTTGATTAAAACTGCGAATTAGGCATGAGATCATTCTCTGGATCGTGAGAAGTCAACGTAATTTTAATGCGAATGGACGTCTTTCTTCTGTGCTTTTACGGGGATTCCAATTGGTGCGTTTAAAAAACATGGTTGAATGTTTTACCATAAGTCGTGTTGAAACAAGCGGTAATTAATTAAGAGGGAGTTAGTTAGTGTCTCGAGACAGATGGTTCTGAAGCATGTATACGTAGTGTGCACTTCAGATTAATAGTTTTTCTTCGTTACGTTTTGAACAAACGGAAGAGGTCGCGGGAAATACCAAGGAATAATCACATAGTTTCGTCGCTAAATCAAATCTTCCGGATTCCTCAAGGGCTAAAGTCTGTGGTCTTCGTACATAAAAAAACCCAGTGGTGGTTACTGGTATTTTGGTTTTAATGGAACGTAAAATTTAACTTAACTTAAAGAAAAAAAATTTGAAGTGAATTAAGTCGAATGTGCCATTTTTATCGGCGCAGAAAAAAACGCAAATTTAAGGGGAAGTAAGAAAAAGTTAACGTTAAATAAAACGCTTTCCTTAGGGCAATTAAAACAACCGTACGCGGTTAAGGACAAACTAATTAAGTGCGCTAGTATATTTTCGTTATGCTGAAAATAGTACATTATATATCAAGGTAGAGAAGTCCACTATTATTGCCTGAGCACCAAGATTACATCTCGAGGCGCTTGCGCCGAGAAAGGTGCGAAGGCAATAATACTTCTCTACCGTGGTATATATACTATTTTTTTCACTACTAGCACTTGAAATCCTCTAAATTAACATATTATATTGATAAGAGAGTTAACGGTTGGACAGAATTGTTTATTTCTTAATTTAACATGTCAATCAAGTACGTGGAAGTACAAGTCAAACAGGCCGTATTTTGTTCTGTCATTGAGATTTTTCAAAGAGTAATTTCGTTCGAACAAATGTGATAATTTTAGGTATGTAATTTCTCGGCAATTATTCGTTTTAGAGAACTAAACGTTCATTGAGCGAAATTTCGGGTTGTGTTTCCTAAAAGTGACAGCGTGACAGTTCTCATTATTGACTACTAGTTAATAATAAAAAATTATTAACCACTTTGAACAAATGCCGAGAAAGCCTACTTTACAAGTGGCAAAAAGGTTAATAATCATGTCATCGGACGCTAGTAGTGAAAAAAAGTTATTTTCATCTAGATGTTCCAAATACATATTTAATTTTCTGGTCAGCAGGGATATTAGTCTTCAATTTAATTGGAAATTAGAAGATTTTTGTCTTTTTAGACATAGAGGAATGTAAGAATTTGTTTGATTTCAGTCTTTGATTATAATAAATGTATTCGGTCTGAGCTAATCTCTTGTAATTTTTGTGGTTTTTATAACTCCTACAAAGGGAAGTAAAAAGATTTGTTTCGAAGACCCACGAATTTGGAAGTGGAGTAATTTCTTATAATATAGGTACTCGAATAATTAAATTTATGAATACTCAGCTAATAAGTTCTAATTAACAGTAAAGTGAATTATATCCCCTTTTATCTGAGATAGCGTGGGAAGGTCCAAACGAACCAAAAACGAAGAGAGAAAAAGGACGTTGTTCAAAAAGAATTTTATACATCGAACCATGGAATTTTTAGGAGGAAGTAATATAATTTAAATTTTAAAGTCAAGTGAAACGCTTTCCATAGGAATATTAAAACAACCGTTTTGAGACTTAAAGCTCAGCAAGTTCCTTCAATACCCAGTTTTCTGATAAACGATTTGGCACATCGTTGTGTAGGAACTTGTTTTCATAGTTTAGGTTTATCTTTTTATATTTTGGTAGCAAATCTGTTGGATTAATGCGATTACAGTTCCTTATACTTTACGATTCGTCCTTGGTAAAAGCACGTTTAACTGGTAACAAAATTTAGATAAGGAACGTCTGTAGACGTAAATACGTAGAGTGAAGTACAGAAAGATAACAGTGATTAAAGTAATAATGTACTTTGTCATAGTTGATAATTTAATCGTTAAAACTCAATAGTGATTACCTGTGCGGTAAGGTTAGGTTCGGCACTTTTTTACTTTGAAAAAATGCTTTTAACGATATTTACCATAAGCAGCAGTGTTTCGATCACAACTTGGATTATATTCTGTTGTGTGGTCTACGCTTGGCACTATCTAATTGAGGTCATTTTGGGTAAGGCACTAATTTAGGCCGTCATTATTGACATTCGTATCTCATCATTCGTTTAAATTCTTACAGATCTTCCAGTAGTTGGAGAGTCGCCATGCTCCGCACACGCAAGTCTCAAGTTTCTTATCCAAAAAGTTATTCAAGACGCCATCAGTTTGCCCATTCTAAAAAAAGTGGATGAACAGCCAGGAGCGCCAGTCGATGAAATCAATCGCTCGTATGAAGATCTCCTCGCTACTGCAATTATTAATAAGGTATGATTCGTATAGGTACACATGCAATGTCACTTCATTTTATGATTTCTTTTGGATAAATAAGGTTTGTCCATTTTTTATGTAATGGTACGTGATAAGTATTTCTTAAAGTTTGGGAACTTTTACAGGTAATAGAAAACTACCAAGATGAATTACCTACGTCATCAGCAAATAGTGTATCTAGTCGAAGATCCAATTTATCTATTCGAAACAATAGAGAGTACTTTTTCGGAGAAGAAACATTGGACGCCAAATGGAGAAATTGCAATAGTGCAGCGGGGGATGTGGATACAACGTCTGTATCTAGCATGGAGGAATGGGTTCAAAGCGGTTCCAGTTCGTGCTCAACGAAATACGTGGATCACAAGTCGCTGACGGTAGGCTTTTCCTTGGTAAACTGGAGATTAACATGATTAGTGTCTACAGATTCAACACCGTATAGAAGAGGCTTCATCGTCAGATGAAGAAGACAGTCGCAAGGAATGGCAGGAAAATTGGAAACTACAAAGACGTCAGTTTGCGGGATCAGCCTCGCCAATCCCCGTACCGATGTTAGTACCAAACCCAACTGTGGTAGCAAAAGTACTAATTGGAGATCGGGAGGCGGATGACACTACTGATTTATCAGATGCCGCATCGGAGTGCGATGAGACTGAACGGTTAAAGTGCCCAAAGGTTGAGAGTGAAGATGAAGTTTTATCTGATGGCACTACAGACGACGTAGACATTGCGGGAGAAAAAGATCGAATACTAGAGCAATTTTCATCCTATCAACCTGACTGCAGTCTCGATGCAAATATATGGGAATTTGTTAATACCAACGTTAATTACTCTGGTTGGTATTTTTATTTTTGATTCAAAAAAGTTATGTTGCTTTTAGAAAATTTCGAAGATACTTCTTTGGATAGCCATATAGAACAGGATTCGGAATACACCGAAAAATATGCAACGTTACCTAAAACTATACTAAAATGTTCGACACCAGTGAATAGGTAAGTGAGCAAATTTGTCGAAAAAAAGTAAACTGCTTTTTTTAGCGTGAATGATCCGTATGTAAATAGCGTAAATGATAGAAACAATTTAGAAATTTTAAGCAATGGTGATATACATACAGAAACTGCTGAACTAATCGATGGAGCGGAACCAGTGGAAATTAATGAAGAATTAAGGAAAAAGTTTGAAGGTGCTATTTAAATTTCACATTTTCAGCACACTAAACGGTTACATTTGAAGGTTCCTATAGCGAGCGGGAGAAACAAAAATGGAATAATGCCGTGGAAATGAAGAACAATCCGTATACCGAAGAAAACATAAATCGTAGATTAAAGACGTCCAGCGTAATGGCTTCATTGTAAGTAGTTTACGTGGTGATATAACTGAAGCTTTTCGAAAAATTTCATGTCAAGTTGTTGAAGATGCAACTGCATTATTTGCTATATTAAATGATTCTGTAAACGATCAAAGTTGAATTGGACCAATTGCGTTGGAATATGCATAGAGGGTGCCAGCACTTGTGCAGTAAAATTATCCTTAGTGTAGCTGGATGCATTGTATGACCTACAGACAAGCTTTGACTTCGAAAAAAATGAGCCCTGGACAAAATATTTGGTAACGATTGTTAAAGTGTTAACAGAAGTAAATTATATAAAAATGAGGCCACTAAAATCGCGACGTTTTTATCACTTTGTAAATACATGGGTGCGGTACATTAGTCTTTATTTTTTTATTGTGAAGCGAGATAGTTGTCACGTGGAGGATTTATACAAATTACAACGTGTGTATGAACTAAGAGCTGAAATCACAGTTTTTTTTAGAAGAAGAAAAGTGATAGGAAGCCGAGAATTTTCGTATTGTGGCTGAATTATTTGGTTAATAACATACTTGAACAATTAAATATCTTGAATCTCCAACTCTTAGGGATCAAACGCACATTTATTCGATACTAGTGATAAAATACATGCATTTTGTAGAAAATTAGAACTATGGAACAGAAGTATAAAAAAAAACTTAGAGATGTTTCCAAATGTTGTAGAATTTATTAAAACCTACAAATTTTATGGTATTTTAACAGAAAATAGAGTAGCAGGAATTAAAATGTTTTACATTATATTTGTGTGTTAAATCAGTTTGCGTTACTCGTTTCGAAATTTCTCGGCATTGAACATCTCACTTGTTAACTTAAACCTTAATTTACCGTACTGATATGTAAATAACTATTAGCTGATTGAGCCCATACGTCAAAAATTTACATTTATCTGTTATCTGTTGAATGCACAAAATGAGGGCGAATGGTAATCGTTATGAGAAAATATTTAGGTATACCTTCCCCATATATTCTTTAATATTATCAAAATTTAACATTTACTAAATGTTTAGACATAACGATGTCATCATCAGGTAACTGAAATCGTAGAGTAAAATCAAGCAATAAAACAAAATACTTACAAGAACTAGTTATGACAAAGAGGTTAAATTTAACTAAGACAATCAAATTTGGAAAGTTATAATGGTCCAAAGATCCGGTGTACGAGGCAGAAGGCTTCGTCGGAATGGTAACGTGAAACGGTGTCACAAAAACCAACCCCAAAGTAAAGCACAAACTAAACAAGACTTACAAAATTAAAGAAAAATTATCCGGTGTACGAGGCAGAAGCCGGATCATATTTCTTTAATTCTTCGATAATATTAAAGAGTATATGGGGAAGGTATAAATATTTTCTCATAACGATTCCTAACTTTACTTATGCCCTCCTGCCTTAGGAACCTACACTTTTAGTATTCTAACCTATACAACCGAATAGGAACTTGGTATAGCTATTTGTAAATGTTTGTATTTTTACAATGAATGGTACCAATTGTGTATTTTGATATGCACTATGAGCACTACAAATTGTTACCAACCAACTCTTTCTCTCTCATGCGTTGACATGTGATAGAGAATAAAGAATTTGTTGGAAATTGGTTTACAAACTAGTCACATAGGGCTTACCTTTTGTATGCTCAACTGTACTGTTTTAGATACCTACTTGGGTCTTCTGTAAAAGTCTGATTTAGAAAATACGTCACGCCGAAATCTAAGTTTGATACATGTCCAAAGATTGATTTTTTCGATAATGAAAGTGAACATTGCGTAGGTACTTTTGTTATACAAACATTATCTTTAGAGAATTCTACATCAAGAGCCAGATAAATACACCCAAAGATATTTACTTGAAGGGGAAGCAGAGTGCAATGTTCATGTTTAAACAAACTCGAAGACTAAAAATAAGAGTGTATAGTCAATGAGCAAAGTGAACCTAAAATTTTCTTCCCATTACTTCATCCAGGAGCCGGTTTTTCAATAGAATCGTAAATGATAAACTAATATCTTATCTACAATTACGCGATACTGCACTGAAACAATTAGAAATGTAAGATTAGCTACAATAAAGTAAATATTGCGGCAAAGCACATCGTAATTTAACTGTATAAGCTAATACCAATGAAGGAGAAAACGTTAATATCCGTTTTAAATGAAGATCGTACTAAAAATAAACACATTCGGCAAGTGGTGCACGTTTTGAATTCAGTTTGATTTTTGTGTTGTAGGTTCGGCAGAGATTATTACATTAAAGAAGCGGCAAAGGCAGCAGGCGCAAGAAACGCGAAAGATGTTAATCACGCTGATGCGGTAAGTTTGAAGAAAGTGCTCTCACATTTGGAACAAGAGTACGTTTATTGTAGTATGAATCGAAGGCTGTTCTCTGCAAAAAATTGCAGTAAACACTTTGTGAAAAATCCATTACTGAATTTTCCCGATCGTTATAATACTCTGTAAATTTTAGTCGTTGTGATTATGATTATAGATTTAGAAAGTTAAGGGCATCGTGCAAGGGTCGATCGGTTACATTTTTGTCAAATTTGTGTGTTACTAAGAGTGTTGCATCTATGAAACTTCGTAGTCATTGGGGATGGAGTTTTAAAGTTGAAATTTGAATTTTTGCTTTCCTCCGATTCATTCATTTAGAATATGATTAACATTGGCTCTGGTACCTATACTTTAAATCAGCGGGGAATCGAATTCTGGATTCCAATCCCTTCTTCGGAGGTGCATTTTCTTATATTGTTCCTTCTTGTAGAGTTTCCTTACGTGTACGATATGGTACTAAAAATTACATGAAAATTTGCTCCTTGATTGGTTGAAACTTCGAGGTGACAACCCTACTAGATTGGCAGCTCAGCAAGTGCCAAACTTTTGTAGAGTCAAATTGGGATTTATGCGGTAAAGAGTAGACAAGTTTAAACTGAGAAAAATGTTCACTACTCCTTCATGAAAATGTAATGACTACCAGAATAAAAAAAACTTGCATATAATAGCGGACGACTGAAGCCTCAAATGGGTGTAACGTAAGCTATAGTCATCCAGCCTTTACTATCTGCAGGTTATTTAAGCAGAACTAATAATTTCCAGAAATTTGATTTTACCATGCCACAATTAAAAATTCACTTCTGGCAATTATAGACAGTATATATATTGCTCATTGTTCGGTCTCGTGAAATACTTGCTACGGATACATTACATTCTGCAAATGCTTTTAATCTTTTAGGTTATTTACATTCTTTGAATCTGTATTACATTGTTTAGATTCCTTCTGTTTAGAATCATTTAAAATCTATCATTTCCTTGAATTTCTGCCGATTCTGTTGTTTTTCCATTTTTCATATTTGCCAATTCCTCATACAGGTATATTCTTGTAATTGTTCACCTTCTTCCTTTTCTTCCAATTAATGTATTTTTTTCACAATCTACGGACTGTATCGATCAATCTCGTGCTAATTTTTGGGATTATTAAAATATTTTGATGTTTTCTTCTTCTTGAGACTCACCATACCTTTTAAACTTGTTCTTTTCGTTCAAACTCTTCTGAAAATTTGTTGATTGTTCACAATCTTCCTTCCCAAGACGATAAAAGGATGTTTTAAATACATCAATACAAAACTTTATTTTATAGCAGAAGCCAAATATACCCTAATAATAACATTTTGGAAAATTTTGTATTTAAATTGGATATCAGATAGCTTCTCCTGTCGTTTACATGGAAAGAATATTGTTTTATGCTCTGAACTTCATTTTATTTCATACTACGCGTCCGATTTTTAATAAAAATGACAAATGTCATTAGAATGCACAATCGCTTTATCTACCCTTTCCGTTAAAGTGATCATCTTTATCTACTTTTTCTTGTTAAAGAGAGACTAAGCCTACTCATTCAACCCTATTAAAATGTCTATTTAACATCTGCTATAAAATAAACTATATTACGCAATGGTCGCCATTTTCAATCATAAGGGACCTTTGGTTCTGACTACTGAGGGTGAAATTGATTCTATGGGCGTGTAATATTATTAACATGGTGCTTTCATCATAAAATGCAGTTTCCGCTAAAAGATGCTTTCACCTGTTTTGGAAAGTGAAGGAAATGAAAAGAAGCGTTTATGGATACCAATTTCTTTTCCAATTTATAACAGATTTTTGATGATGGAATTTATATTTCTAGGTTATTGGGGATCAGCATTAAACCAAATCTTCAAACTCTTCGCAACATTTCGAATTGTTGCAAAATTTGAATAAATCGAAGATTTGGAGTTGTATTTGTACATCAATGATAAACATGTAACAGATCTATACAAGTTTGCCATTAATCCAGACCAAAATTTGGGGGCATATTTTTATCACCTGACGAACATAAAAAAAATATATGCAGCATGTAAAAATAATGCGTCCACTGTTTTATATTTTATATATTAGCCAGTAGATCCGCATTATGATTAGAAACAATTTCAATGTGTAGATGCACCACTTAGATTGACCTATGCGTTATTGTAGTACAGATGCAAACCGAAAGCGAATTGTATTATCCCTTACCTATCTAATTATGTTACCATGTCCATAAAATTGTGAATGGATCAATTGCCATATGAACTTATGAGTTTAAATAGATAGAGAGGAGAGTATTGTTAATATTGAACTAGTAAATATTTACAATTTTTTTTGTTCTTTAATTTAGTCTAAGTACTACAGCGAAAAATCTAATACAAAATTAGGTAAGTTAAATGTGTAAATAGTTTTTGTGTGCTAACTATAATATTGTATAGACAATTAGAAGCAATACTAACAATACTCGCTACTTTGTTTTAGACCAAAGGTTATAACAAAAATGCCTCGCTTAATTTACATTGTTATTGTTGCCATGGTAAAATCCTTCAACGTATCAAAATTTGGCATGTAGTGTGTAATTTGGTTATTTTAACAGGGTTCAGAGAAGCAAGAAAAACCGTCAAATGAAACCGCATCGTCTGGGTTCATCTTTACAGCTGTACCCGCGATCGTCAACGCAGACAGCTCATACAACACAGATTCAGAATCACTAATCGAAATTGGATCTCCTGCGCCACCCTCTAGTCTTTTTGAAATATCGAGCGATTCCGATTTGAGTATTGAGCGAACTTATAATTTAACAAGTGGTAAAGTATACGAAAAAGTTGGAAATTTACACAAAGAAATCGTAAAGCGCACTTCGAGTCCCGAAGGGCTCAAGTTTGTGACGATCGCTTCGGAAATGGTGGATGAAAATCACAACTCAATGACATCCAGAAAGCGGACCTTTCTCAGATCACTTACCGACTCGGACGATGGAGACATCACTATGTCCATAGCGCCTAATTGCGAAGTATTCTGTCAAAATACCAATATTTCTAATGTGCCATTGAACGACCAGACGTTTGAGGTTGAGAGCTTAGATTATGCAGATCACAATAGATCCTTTTCAGTTCAAGAAGTTAGTATCGATTTCTCAACGGAAACTGATATAAAAACTTCAGCGGAATCTTCTTTAAATTCGACTCACGACTCTGAAATTGGTGATCTCAAACAACAACACCTAGTTAAAGATAGGCTAGGACAATTGTCCAGATCCTACCCAAATTTAGCTTCTAAGAAAGTTTTTGGCAAATTCCACAATGAGATTGAAGAGGTTAAGATATGTGTCGCTCAGGCAACTGTTATACCTTTGCAGAACGGCTTTGAAGACGGCGAGAAATGTGTTTCTCCTGAAGAATTATCTACGTCTGCCCATGACACTTCTGTGAATGATTTAAGAAAAAGATTCGCCAAAGTACACGTATGTATACCATTATTTACTGTTATCTACTTGTATAGTACTAGCTTTTTCCCCATTACCTTCTGTCTTAATTCAGTTTCTCCTGGTTTCCGTGGAATTTCGGGAAGTGCTTCCGGAGTACACCTTAGCACAACAAAAACAATCAAATCCAAATTCCAATAAGGGTTACCCTCGCCTGATTACACGCGAATAGCTCTAGGGACCTCATTGATTACAAGGAAAAAAAAGCTGGGTACCTATTGAAAACCTTCCAGGATATGTATTCAGTTGCTTTTGACTTCTTTTCTGTAACATAAACATTTTGGGTGGTTTTGAGAGTATATCTTTTTACCGAAACAATTTAATAAACAACGACAAAATTTAGTCAGGCTATTTTTAGCACGGGAGATATTCGGTATGTTTATTTCCTGAATAAATATTAAATTACGCAACCTTTGACGTTTGCAAATGATCCCTGAAATATGGATGGTAAACCATAGCAATTCTATCTAATCTAATCAACTGATAACATCGTTAACGTTGTCGTTAGTTAAGTTTTTATTAATTTTAATACCGAGACACACCTTTAAGTTTCATCAGTTATTGGTATTAGCATCGTTATTAAAATTTAAAACCTGCTTTTTCTTTGCTTTTGATGCAAATTTACGACTACGACGTACCCTACGATCGCGCTCGATTCATGCATATAACTGATTGCTCCTTTATTTGTAGGTAATTACCTATGTAATTTTTTAAAACAATATTTGTGTTAAATGACCCAAAATTTACACAATGTGAATAATACGTCACGACGTGATTTATTATTTCTTGTAGGGAGGGCAGCGCCTCAGAACCCTCCTGCAGGCGCCGCCACTGATGATACCCTACATTATCTAAACGCCCTGTATATATTAATCTCGATTGAAAGTAACCCACACCTATGGAAAGTTCCATTCTATCTACTAACACCCTGTGGTAATCTTCCCTTAACAGATAATAAAATCCACCTTAGCGAAGTTATGCTAACATTAGCTAAGCTAAATAGAAATTCGCCAAAACGATCGCAATACAATTCCTATCAATCCGTTGGTCATTGATGATCTTTACTGGAAACGTTCTATATCTTCTAAAGTGTCGATAAATTAAGAATTCTTGTAGCCGGTCCGTCTGGCGCAGTGCGGTTAAAGCTGAACCATGGTGCTAAGGGTCCCTGGTTCGAATCCGGGTTCGGGCATGGATATTCGTGAATGTATAGTGGGTTGGGTTGGTAGAGCAGTCTTGGATGAAACCCCGCCCACTCAAACAAAAAGGCAAAATAAAGTATCTCCTGTACGTCTGTTTATCCATTTCTATCTGAACTGAAAACGGGATTTCTATATGGCGCAATGAAGGGTCTTTAAAATTGTTGCTAACAGTTTCTATAGCGCTTGCAGAACCCGAAATGTTCTCTTAAAGGTTTTTGACAGCCTTGAAAACCTTTAAAGCTTTTAAGTGTCCATGAGCATTCCATAGGGTTTTAATAAGCCCGAGTGCAAGTCTTCAAGATTCTATATGTAAGCTTCTAATTGCATTTTAGTCTAGGAATCCCTTAGAAACTGTTTTTAAAGGTCATTATGAGCATAGACATTTAGTATTTAGGAACCCTACAGAACTTGTATGTGTCCTCAACAATCTCTAAGAGGTGTTTGATAAGATATCATCATACAATTTTATGACTGAAATAAGTAATATTTTTTGGATGTGTAGGTTTTACAATGCCAGAAGTGAATAAAAATTGCATTACACCTTTTTGTTTGCAGGGAGATGAGAGTTTAATGCAAAAGCAGGTGCACAGTTTAACAGCGAGAAGCATACCTCACCTGATAAGAAAGGAACTACAAGAAAGTGAACAAAAGCAAGAGTCTCATAATTACGGCAGTGATGCCACCAAACAAGAAGAAGTTGGATTGCAAGCAGCTCAACTTGAAGAAGCCACTGTGATCAAAGAAAAACCGGTACTATCCACGTTTCCTAATGCAAAAAGTAGAATTAAATTCTTTGAAAATTTAAATCGATAAGTATTGTAAATAATTGTATATTTAATTAAACCAAATATTTTGTACATATAAATTACAGAGTTACCTTCGCGTATTTTAAGAAAAGTGTATTCCTTCTTTGTTGAATGCATGTAGTACCCTAAAATAAAGGTGCTTTTATTTTTATTTATTCTAAAAATTTGTTACATACATAATGAAATCGTCAATGTCCATCACCCTGGCTCGCTTTTGTTCGGCATCAATATCAACCAGGACCTTTTCAACGGTTTCCTTTATATTAAAATCCTCCGGTATGATCTACAAACACGCATTACAAAAGTGAGGCATAAAACGTAACAACTCACCTTATTATTCACACTACAATGCAGCCTATAGTTTTTGTCTAATAAAGCTAGAACTGAAGTTTGCTTAAAGGCACTGCTTAGAGTTTTATTCTTCCTTGTGAATGCTATACGTGTAAGCCCATCCCATTCTTTAAAAGCGATTGGAGGTGGAGGGTTCTTTGGTTCTATCCTAACCACAGACGACTCCACTTTCGGGGGCGGTCTGAAATTATTTTTCCCTACCTAAAACTGTTTCTACAACACTTTACAATTTGCACCGTCATTACCTTCATTAACATGTCCACTCTGGCCAAAAGCTGCGTATTGATGGATAGCCTGCAGTATAATTTATCTCCTGGTTTTGCAACAAGACGTTGCGCGAACTCTCTTTGAAACATAATAACTGCGCATCGAAAGAATGGACGATGTAGAAGCAGTTTGAATACTAACGGCGATGAAATTTGATAGGGTATATTTGCTACGCACACATTGAAAAATGGCAACTCTGTCTTTAATACATCTCCGATCATAATTTGTAGCTTGCTTTGAAACGGGGTTCCTATCACACGCTTTTGTAATTCTGCCACTAATCTACAAACCCGCAATAAACTAATGAGCCGATTTCAGCCAATAATACCTAGGATCTATTTCGCAGGCAATAACATGCTTAACTTTCTCAAGAAGCTTTATAGTCATGTTGCCAGTTCCGGGACCAATTTCCAGAGCGGTATCCGATGGTAGTAGACCAGATTTCTCAACCATTGAGGTAATGATCATGGGATTTTTGAGAATGTGTTGTCCAAAATCCTTGTTGAACATAATACCTGAAAATATACTCGAGTAATGACCATAAAAAAAGTAATGAAAGTTACCTTGTCTGGCTATTTCGCCATGGATTCGAGATTTCTTTTCACTTTTTATTTTCGGCATCTTGCAATTTAGATGGGAATCGTTTATTTTGATACTGTGTTTATCAAATGATTTTTTGGTTAAGAATTGAGTTGAGGTTAGGTTAAAAATAAGCACGTGCACTTGACACATCGTGTCTCTTCTACCGCCACTTGTGAAATAGTACAGGGCGATACAACTTCTCGTAGAAAGATTAAGCATTCTCAACCATTTACAATAACAAATTGAGCGAATGAAATTTGTTTTTGAATAGTAAGGTTAACTATGTATAAAAGACGAGTCTGTCAAACCCTCATTCAGTAAGTGTAAAAACTGGCGTTCATTCGAATTGGCATCTTATCAAGATATGGTTCACTGAATTAATTTTAAGCACAAGCGCAGATTTCATTCACAAATTTTTCACTTCGACATCGATGTTGAAACAAACCAAACACACGTCACTTGGCGAATGTGCAAAACTCATTTGTAGGACTGCAGGTAAAGTTTTTTCATGTTCTCCACCAAAATAGAAACCTGAGTAGCAATTCTGACATGTGTGTAACCCAATTCGCGTAAATGGCATAATCAGAAAGCAGCTTGATCTTTCTTGGCCTGATGAGCTTTAAGCTTGCGAAATGCGAATCCAAACGAAGTAGCTACTAGCAATGAATACAATAATATGCTACTACGTAGGTAGTTGTTTCGCAAAATGTAGAAGACCCGACACGTAGACAAAGTGGCCGCAGTATCTTAAACTAAAAATATGTGATTTTGGAGTTCAAATTTTAAGACTCAAAAAAGTTGCAGAGACAGTGGGTTAAAAAAAATAGATTCCAGATTGTTTCATTTATAGGGAAAAGATTTGGTTTTTCTGGAGCTTTTCAAAGTGGTCTATAGTTTTTTAGAGCTCTTTTGAGCTCAATAACAGAGATTTTAAAACCCTTTACGAGCTCCAGCTAAGTGCATTTATTTAGTTTGTTTTAATATTGGTTAAAAACAAACGTTGAAGGGGCTTGAAAAAGCTTTTATCAATCCTTTGAACCCTTAAAAGCTGTTATGGGCTCCTATTTCTTACAGCAATAATGATGATTTCATGCACTCAAGTGGCTCATTAATTTTGAAGTATTTGCCTTCCTTGGAAGAATTGGTTTAGAAAAACATTCCTATTGTTTCAATCTGTATTCGAGTTGGCGTTTTGTAGCCACAACTATTTAAGGGAGTATCATATGATATATTCTCATTAATTTTCATCGATTTTAGGGCATATTTTCTTCTGTTCTCAAGAAAACTGCAATCAAGATGGTTAAGTGACTCCAAAAGGCTTGTGCAATTATTATAAGAGGAGTAGTATAGTAATGTCGATTTCAGCCCACTTTGACCTACTTTTATTCGCATGCGCCAAATCCAAGCGTGGTTTTTTATCTACACTCACTGAAGGTCATCGTGTTTTTTGTCTAACCTAACGAGGGCCATTCTTGCCTAAAACTAATGTCACACAAGGTCATCGTTGTTGTTGGCTAAACTCACGGAGGGTTATCGTGGTTGTTGGCTAAACTCAATGAAAATCATCGTGGTCCAAACTAACTAGGTTCGTTCCTGAACTAGATTCTGCTGAAGGCGCCTTCAAATCTGCCCTCTACCTCAATGATGCCGTCTACTGCACCTTCAAGTTTGATCGTCAGTGACATTGCCGCCTCTACGTTTGATCTTATGTGACGTTCAGGAATGAACCCACGTCTACGACCTTCAATCGAATCTAGTTCAGGAACGAACTTCAGTTGTGCCCTACTGGTTTTTAAATGTTTCTGAATGCACCTAAAAGCTTCTTAAAGGTTCTTAAACACCTTTTGAGGCCTTTTAAAGCTCTCAAAGAGTCACAAAAGCCATTAAAGAAAGAACTCTTAGAGAGAGGAGAGGATTTTAATGACTAATTTGGGACTGCTGAGTGCTGGAATAGTACCTTTGAGCTATGTTGCTAAGAATTCTTTCTGAAGTGTACAAGTACTGATGCACATTAAAGAATTATTTGGTGAAAAGGCGAAAGTAGAAGGTCCCCCAGGAAATACGCTGCGGATATTTAACATAATGTAGAAAAAATTCCAGTCACACTTCAAAATAGCTTTGACTTTGTGTTTCTAATTTATTGCTAAAAATCACGTGCATTTCATGCTAGGTTGAAAATAAGAAAATTTTTTGCAGTTGAGTATGTACATTAATTGGGGATTTTTAAAATGGAACAAGATCTCATTTGGAATGTTTTGAAATGATCTTGATGTCTGAGAAAATTAAGGATGAACGTAGAATGGATACTGTAATAATTTTCACTTATTTGTATTCATTGCACAGCAAAACTAGTTCTCAATTTCTCCTAACGTAAATATTTATTTTGGTCACTCCGCTATTAATTACCTACACCTTTGTTTGTATGTGACCCATTTGAGAATAACTTAGAACGACTGTTGCGAATATTTATATTGAAGATCGGACTCGTTTCGATGAACATTAATCCACTTTGCAAGATGCGAACTTCGTTTCTTAGGATGAACAGTTATGTGTATTTACCTTGACCCTCGCCATTGCAAGATTCTCTTTAGATGTAACTAACCAACCAGGTTTGTGACCAAATAAAGCGGCAAACGAAGTAGTATCTCGCATAAAAACTGCTCAAACATCGTAAAACCACTTGTTTTTAATGCTGACAGGATTTGTCCATAATCAAGAAGTCCTTATAAGGCCAGCTTAAGAGAAAATTCAGACAGTTTTAGTTGCAATATGAAACAGTTTAAGTGCCTCGCGATCATTTTGAATATTTTAGTCGTAGTGCAATCCGCAACTATTTACAATGAACCACTTGATATTCCGGTAGAAATCGTATATAGTGACGAAATACCTCATGAAATAGATTTTTACCCGTTAGAGAATGAACGTAGGAATTTGGCCGAAAGAGTTCAATTATCTGAAAGGCAGATCCGTCAGTTAGTAGCGTCAGGGGTTGATGTTTTGCGAAATTTAGACGCTAAAGTGCAATTATCACCGGAAGAGTTACAGCAGGCGGGGAAGCATTTGCCATTTGATCATGAAGAAAGTGTTGCCGCTTTTAAATCAAACCAAGAAGCGTTGAAAAATGTTGAAGAATCAATTACCCAACTTTCCGTTGAAAGCTCACCGTCATCTGCTGACCAACCCAATTCTTCAACCCAAATTTTTATTGATAGCTCCTCAGCATCGTCAGTTACTGACGAACCCAATTCTTCGGCAAGTACAGAGGGAACCATACCAGATGTAATCCTTCTAATTCAAGTAGCCCAAAATATAGTCAATGAAGGGTTAAAGGAAATTCGGGATAATATCAATAAATTTTCGTCGTCCAACTCTTCGAATTCCATAATTAACGAAGCGCAGTGGAATGCATTGAATAGAACACTTTCGAATTTCTTTTCGGCTTTACTGCAACGTCCATCGTTAAAAGCAAACAAAGACGGTATATTAAAGGAAATAATTTCCGGAGTGCAAAGTGCTACAAATCAATACGTAAATAATTTGAAAAGTGCTAATGTCTCTCAACCTGAGGGTACGACACCGGCGCCAGGTATTGGCCAAAACTTTGTCAACTTTGTGTCTTCCGGATTCCAAAGGTTGACCGATCGTCTTAATAGCATGCTGAATCGCAACACAACTCCAACCGCTGTGCCAAATGAAGCCTCTACGTCACCCAGGCCTTTACAAAATATCATTAATCAAATTTCTAACTTAAATCCATTTAATCGCAATACTACTCCCTCGCCGGCAGCATCAAATCCATCCCCATCAACACTAAGTACTGTGCTAGGTGAAAGTGCCCCCTCTTCAACAACGACTAGGCCTCTGCAGAACTTCATCAACCAAATCGCTAATTTAAATCCGTTCAACCGAAATTCTACGTCCAACGCCCCCGCCATTCAATCGGTGAGTTCCCAACCAAGTACTGTTCTAGGTGAAAGCGCAGCACCGTCTACATCTCCTAGGCCTTTACAAAATTTCATTAACCAACTCGGAAACTTAAATCCGTTTAATCGAAACTCTACTTCTCCGAGTGAAAATCATCGAGCAGCAGACACTCCTGAAAGTACAGTTCTTGGTGGAGATTCACCATCATTCAATAAAGATTCTTCTTCTATCTCACCTCCGCTACCAACCGATTTACCAACGACAAAGACGCCGCTCCAGGCTCTACAAGAATCATTCTCGCAAGTAGGACAAGCAATCGGCAATTTAAATCCGTTTAGGCCTACCCCATCTCCGGGAAGCCAAGGCGATGTGGCTACAACGAAATCACCCCTTCAAGCAATTCAAGAATCGTTCGGGCAAGTGGGTCAAGCCATAAGCAATCTGAACCCATTCAATCAAGCAGCGACTCCAGCACCCGGATCTCAAAGCGATTCTTCTACCACAAAATCACCCTTACAGGCCATTCAAGAATCATTTGGACAAGCCATAAATAATCTGAATCCCTTTAACCAGCTTACCGCCGCGCCTGGATCGTCAGGGGATGCTCCGACGACCAAAACGCCCCTGCAAGCAATACAAGAAACGTTCAATCAATTTGGACAAGCGATTAATAACCTTAATCCATTTCATCCCCAATCAACACCCTCCAATTCGCAAGGTGACCAAGCTACGACCAAAAACCCACTTCAGGCCTTTCAAGAATCCGTAGGTCAAGTTATTAACAATTTAAATCCTTTCAACCAGCAATCAACTGGCGCCGCAGGCGATGCTCAGACTACCAAGACACCGTTCCAAGCGATTCAAGAATCAATTGGACAAGTCGGGCAAGCAATCAACAACTTGAATCCCTTCAATCCAAGGCCTTCGGCCCCTACAACCCAAAGCGAGGGATCCAGTGTAAGTCCAATTCAAAGCGCAATTAACCAAGTGCAGGGTATTGTTGACATTAGCTCAGTAAATCAGGCAAGTACAGTAATACAATCGATTGGTAACCAAGGCGCGCAGGTAATTGGGAATCAAACGATTATAAACCCAGCCTCGATTGCTTCGGTCGCCGATTCAATTCAAGCAATCGGCATTCAAGGCCAACAGATATTTAACAACCAATCGGGAGCGTTTATCAATGCCACTGGAGGCGCCATCGAAAGCATCCAGACCATCGGAAGTCAAGGGCAGCAAATTATTGACAGTCAAAACATCGCTGGCAATGTCTCCAACGCAATCCAATCCATTGAAAGTCAAGGCCAGCAAATCATTGATAATCAAAGCGTGTCAGGCGGGCTCAGTAACGCAACGAGTGGTGCAATCGCAGGTATTCAGTCGATCGGAAATCAAGGCCAGCAAATAATTAACAGTCAAAACCTATCAAACGCCTTTAATAATGCGACTGCTGGCGCAATCGAAAGTGCCCAGTCCATTGGAAATCAAGGCCAGCAAATTATTAATAGTCAAAGTATCGCAGGTAACATCACCGACGCAATCCAAGCAATTGGAAGTCAAAGCCAGCAGATTATTGACAACCAAAACATCGCCGCTAATATCTCGGACGCAATCCAGTCCCTTGGAAGTCAAGGGCAACAAATCGTCAACAATCAAAATGTTGCAAACATTGTCAGTGGATTTAACAACTCTGCAATCGAAACCATACAAGCCATCGGCAGTCAGGGACAGGCGATTGTTAACAATCAAAACAGTGGGTTGGTCGATTTAATTAACAGTGCAAGCACCGGTGTGCCACCAAGCGCGGGAAAGTCGGTGGAACACCTGGGAAAGAGCGGCGGTGTATTCCTAGAGGACGAAGAAATCATGATAGCATCCGAATAGACTGATAACAATTGCCATACTTAAGTTATTATAGAATAAGTTAAAAATAAATGTAAGTAAAGAAATAAAGGCAACTTTGCATAAATGCTGTTATTTATATAACTGGTCGAGCATGTCCAGTTCTTGTATTTATGTAACTTGTTTAACGGTTTTGTATGCAACCGTGGGATGAGTGTCTTCTCATTATAAGCAAGAGTGAAAGATAATTATTGGTCGGTCAAGAAACGTTTAGTGTGTATCACATTTTTCTCCTTTCAAGATCTCTCATAATGGAGAGTGGAATTCTTATTATTTTCACTTTTTAGATAAAAAGTGGTCAGTTGACAAGACCGAGTGCAGTAAATTATAAAGCGAGCGTCTTTGGTCAAGTTGCCTTTTTTTATAGTAAGTAGCCATCCTACCCGGCTGGACAAGTGCATTTACCATGCGAACGTCCGTGAACTGGTGCGATCAATGCACGAGGCAATGGCCCATGTAAGTTTAATTGATTTTTTTCTGTGACGGTTATGAAATGAAATGGTTGATAGATTAACGGTAAAGTCAAATATCATCCAATTAGCATATGTATGTCATTAGAAATTTTTAATTGGATGAACCAACACACCCTTTCATGTAAATTATTGGCATCGGATATCGAAATTATGTTAGTACAAGAATATTTTGAAACAGCACCATTGCGTCCATCGTTTGATTATAGCAATACATGTCATGTTATGGTTACTTTTTTGCAACAAAATTACAGTTTATTTCACATTAGGTACCCTGGTAACATTACAGTTTTGTCTTGTATATATTTACTAAAGTTATTGTAAAAAAAGTATAGACGTATGTTCATCGTAAAACTATAACTAACATGATTTCTGAAAAAGTGAAAATTTATTCATTTATTATTGTTTGAGTAACGGTACAATCGTTGTAAGCTATAAGTCGATCAATATACACAGTGCACCATTGTCTCCAAAGAATTTCAATTTTGGACAGCCGATTTTAAGCAATTTGAATTCCAGTTTTAGATACATACCTACCATATAATTGCGAGCAAACTGCTTCAGTGTATGCCTTGAAAAGATTTAAAGTTTCTTTTCTAGATGTAATCGAACTTACATTTGACAACAGGGGCTAGGGATACGTAGTGATTTCTATGAACGAGGGAGTTTTCTCCTGGAATTAAAAAAAAATATAAAGCAATTTAATCTTAAGGAGTTGAAAATAATTTCTGTATCTACACGCCGCATGTGCGATTCACCTCGGAAGCTTACTCGTGGCATATTTTCACCTATAGCTTTGAATATAAAATATTCAAAGCCCGTAATAAGGTGACCCCAGAAAATTCGACCCAAAGGATTCGTTTAAAACAATTCACCTCCAGAACATTTGTCTATAAGCAAATTCGCACTATGTAAATTCCCCTCAGCGAATCTGCCGGGGATAAATATCCGATGGAGAACATTCCAAAGAGAATACAGGGCGCTAATATTACGGGAGCGGATTCCCGTGTAGCAATTTCTTGGAGCGAATAGGTACTGCTTGGGTGTAAAAGAGACGGAAATTCCGTTTTATTCCACAAAATTAACCACGTTCAATTACAGTCGTCTTTATACAGAAGATGTTTTGAGGAATCGAAAAGGAGAACTAAAAAGTGCATTTCACTTCAATTTCCTATTTGCAACTCCTGTGGGAGTGTAACAATTAAATGGTGTAACGGTCATTTTTAAAATAAAAAAAGTCGTATTATGAGACCACACTGAACGAGAAGGCGCTTTTTAAATTATAGTTATTAAGGACCTGACAGATCGGTGCGGTGCATATCTGGGTGCACGATAATTCTCAACGGAAGGTCCTGAATTTTAAAAATTGACAGTCCTCTCGTTAGAAATTGGGGAAATTTAAACACACTTTAAGAAAGTGAGAGCCAATTCTGGAAGAAATAATAAAAATCGATTTTAGAGGAACAAAATAGATTTATGTGTGACAAAGGAATTCTTGAACAATATGTGGCAAATTGGGAGAAAACTGAGCAAACGAAAGGAATACAAGAATTTAAAGCCAATTTTTAAGTATTCTATTACCACAGATTTAAATAGTATATCTAAATCTGTGCTATTACTTACCTTGTATAAAAATTTATGTATGGAGGAAGTGTAAGGACACTTTACGTATGAAGAAAATGGTCGGAAGAAGTAAGAGAAGATTATGAAGAAATATGAAGGAATTCTACTGAAAAAACATGAAGGAAGGTTTAGAAAATCAATCATTAAATAAATATTGCTACCTACTTCGTTCGAAGCTAGGGAAATTAATGCAACACGCTTTAAGATGATAGCGAAAAAAAAAAATAAAAACCGGTGTTAGAAAAACAATTGAGAGTTATCTGTGATTAAAGAATATCAGATAAAATGCGAGTAAATTCTGAAAAGAAATGAAAAAAAAAATCAAGAAAGAAAAACGCAAAGTTTAATTGAATATTATCAGTTATCACATACTTATATCAAATTTAGGGTAATTTAGTCAAACGAAGAAAATGGAAAAATTAAATGAAATTATAGAGGAAATATAAACCTTTTGGGGATTAAGAAATTTGTGGGAAACAATGAACAAATAAGAAAAGAACAGGAGAAAAAAAAACATGGTAGAAGATTTGTAAAATAATTACATAAACCGTCGAGTGAAGGAATTTTGAGTGAAGGAATCGACTTAACCAATAAACAGTATACTTTGTTGGAAATTGTGCAAATTTAAGATAATGCAACAATCTTTAAGGAAGAGAGAATTCTGGAAAATTCAAACAAGATAGGAGCAAATTCTAAGAAAGTATGAGCAAATTCTGAGGAAATGAAAAGGAATTAAAAAAAGTGAATGCCAATGATCAAGATGGAAATATAAAATGAAATTATGGAGGAGCATAAGGACATTTTGGGTATGCAGAAATTGTGAGGAAATATGAGAGGAAACCAAGGAGGAATATTTGGGGAATGAAAACTAATTTTTAAATAATGTATTTCTAAGCTTTCGGAAGGAAAGAGCGAAGGCACTCCTAATGAAAGTTTAGAAATAAAGGACTGGTTTTATTGGAAGCGTATCCAGTACGCACCTAATTCAAGTACCTTGGTCATCATCCATCTTGCTTCAGAAACGAGAGCGCTAGTTTCCGGCCAAGTTGGTGCCAGAGAACACTTAAGTCACTATCATTAGTCGGGCTTGGCTTCTTTTTTTTAAGTTGAAAAAACCTGTTTTTATAGTATTAACAGCAAATATCTGCAGGGAGGTGAGCGAACCAGTCGACATTACCATGGCATTATTTTTTTCCAATTTCAGTAGATATATAAATCGAAAATGCCAACCACCCTTAAGAAGTGTCATAATAAAAAAAATGATTATTACTTTTTAATGATAATAAAACATGCCATTTTTTGTCAAAAATATCATTGACTGCCGGCGATCTCTTGAAAACATTGCACGCTGTCGCAGATTTTCCCTCGGAATTCGATTGCCGATGGAAAACGTTTTGAAGAATTGCGGGAACTACTTGTGGCCGTTGAACTTGCAAAAGTAAAACAAAAACCCTTATCTCCTTTTATTGTTAACCTTTTTATGGATCAATTGAAACTATTTACAACAAGATTATTTTCCTAAAATTCGGATTCGGTACGTGGATCGATGATACCTTTTGTCTCCTCGATATCACAATCTGTACCCCGGAGGACTTTGTTGCTCAGCTAAATTGAAATTATACAGCAATAAAATTTACCTTTGAAAAAGAAACTAACGATAGATTGCCATTTCTCGATACAGTTGAAGTGGAATACGTTTAGATGCAGATGTTTACCGTAAGGATATTAGCACTAAGAGATTCATAATTAAGTCTTCCACTGTATACAGCATAAAGATGCTTCATTTAACTTTTTGGTCCATAGGTTAATTAATTTTATACTTTCACGTGAAAGTTGCAAGTAAATTAGATAAGAAAGTGATAAAATATACTTTGTTCGTCTCATGGTTTAGCCGTTCACAACAGAAATAATGGAGAAAGAAAGAATAGAGGAGGGAACAGAAAAAAATACAAAAGAAAATGTAAAGAAAAAAAGATAGAGAAACGGAAAGAATACGAAGAGCAAATCATGGAATTAAAAAAAGAAAACCATTTTGGGAGGTAATAAACAGAGGAAAAAAATAGAACCAGTGGGAGAGGGATACAATTAGAGGAATGGAAACAACATTTTGTCAAGTTACTACAAGAAAAGCAGGAGAAAAGGGAAGCTATGGAAGAGGTAGGAAGAGAGGAGATGAGAGGTAGAGGCAGGGAAGAGGGGGGGCTACCCGAAGAATGAAAGGAATGGGTAAATGAGCCGATTTTCAAATGAGGGAACAAAGATTGTGTGGAAAATCATAAGGGAATTACTATAATGACTACTGGGTATAGAATCTACGCAATGATACTGAACGAAAGACTGGAAAGAGCAGTAGAAGAGAAGAGGTTGTTGGAGGGAATACAAATGGGAACTACATGGAGGGACAAGGTTGAGGGTAAGAATAAAGGGGAAGGAGTCTCTGAAGTGTTTCGGACATGTAAAGGACTAAGACAGGGAAGTCGAACCTTATTTCATCTCTTGTCTTAATGTCTTAAGAGACATGGAAAAAGTATTAGGACTCCTAGGAGGGATCGTAGTGGGAAGAAGAACAATATTGTCCCTGGTATATGCGGACGCAGTGATCATGGCAACAGAGGTAGAACAGATGAAGGAAATGATAGGAAGAATGGAAAGGTATTGGGAAAGGAAAGAAATGGAGTTAAATGTAGAAAAGTCGAAGATAATAAGATTTGGGAAGGGGGTGGAAGGAAAAGGGAGGGAGAAAAGAATAGAAGATACGGAGTTGTGATAATAAAACAGGTGTGGGAAGAACAAAGAGGGAAATATTACGAAAGAAATGGATACGGATGTGCCGAAAGGAGGAGAGGAGTAAGAGAAAATATGGAAAATGAGCTAGCGAAAGGAGATTTGGAGGCACAAATACAACAGAGGGCTCTATAGAGAGTTCTGCCAAGCTGGCGTGTAGTAGACTGAAATAGAAACTGTTTAGCGCTACCAAGAGTAAGGTTCCTAAAATAAATTTACTGTCTTTATACCTAGTTTTAATGCTAAACTTTGCCTGTCACTCGCAGGAGTAAAGTGCTTGAAATGCTTATGGCATAGTTTTTTTCTAAACCAACCTCTATATTAATTGCATATAAATTGCAAATGGCTATAATTAATGACTCGATTTATAAATGTCTTAACTAAAAAGTATAAATGGGGGAGTCATCTTCTCGCAACAGCACAATGCATAAAACACCCTCTATATTAATTGGGTTTTACATACACATACATACACATCGCCAATTCTACCAAATATACAGGGGGAATGTAGTTTGGTTTATATACTGTAGGTTTGCTACATTGACACTGGTTAGTTAATTGTGTTTCCATACTTACACGTTTGCGCTTCCTGCACTATTCTCCAAAATGCTTCAAAGTGTCACAGATTAGAGTGCATTTTGAACAATCCATTGGTGACATTCAACTAGTATTTCGATTAAGGGCGTGTTCCAGTAGTACAGCATTTGTGCCAAAAAATAGGGCGATTTATATTTCGTCTCAATTCTGTAAAACTTGAGATGAGAGTTTTTGTTGATTTTTGAGGTGCAAATTTGAGTTGTCAGTTGTGACATCACATAGGTATATGCAGTATCGAATCGCCTTTGGAAGTTCACGAACAAAAATTTCAAAGGTGACTCGACAACAACTCTTTTTTGATCGCATATATACCTGGCCGTTATGTCGAAGCCATATGTTCATGCGTAATTTTGATCAGCCTGTTTTTGGCTAATGTTGGTATTTTAACTGCTGCCAGTGGTGCTCTTATTAATTCCAGCATTGACGCTATTGGTATGTTATTATTCAGGGGTATCGTTGTGTTTGTATATCTGGAGAAGTTATCCACATACAACTACAAGATGCCGATCAGACACGAAATGATAAAAACAGAAACATGTAAAAGTATCATAAACCTTCTTGAACATTTTATTAGCCAGGTAAGTGAGTTTTTACTAGCGATAGGAGAAGTTGACTGGTCAGCCGTCAGGCGAGCCTGTCATCTCCTAGAGCCAGTAAAAATATTTACATGTACATGCGTACAATGCAAAATTTTCAGTCCAAGTTATCATAGCCTGTGAGTAACTCAATACGTAACAACCCTCTTTAAGAAAAATGTATAGGAACAGCACATTGTAAATGAACAAAACTGTTCAAAAATAATGGTTTTAGCAAGAAGGAAGTTTTTCTCGTAACATTACACCGATGTTTTTCATTTCGAAATGAATGGAATGCGTTGGCGCTGAGGTCTATTGTTACGGATGAAGAACTTGGACCAATTACAATTATTGGATACATTTTGGCAAACAATAGTTGGTTAAAATTAATCTATTTGGACATACAACAAATTAATCCTTCTCTTATTTACTTTCGGCAGCTTACGGTTGCATCGTAAGAGCACTTCTAATGCTGGGTTTCGGCAGGACGACTCTAAACGATGGTCTTATCAAATACTTTTGCCAGAAAAAGTTCAAGGATTAAATTCGGTGCACTATTTAATTGCCAAGACATTCCGAACATTTATCTCGTAAACGGATGGAATATTTTACCTCAGCAAAACTAATTAATTGGTTCCTTCCTTCATTAAAATACACACAAGTTCGCGTTTTACAGAACAAGATAATTTGCACATCTTTCAATCGGCGAACTTTATACGCGGAACGATAAATTTGCATAATCTATACATAGATTTGGCGGTCACTGATCTGATCTACTTGCATTACATTGTGCCATTAGACAAGCTGTCAGTTCTAATTTAACAATGATGTGTTCTACAAGGAACTAGTTACTGTGTGACCTGGATTAAATGGCTGTCGAACTTAAATTTCACAGAACGGACAATACTCCTTGGGGGTTTAGGCTAACGGGTGGAGCGGATTGCGATATTCCTCTCACAGTGATTAAGGTATTTTCTAATACAGCCGAACGGTATTTTGACCCCAACTTTGCGAGTAAAAGAAAATGTATATTTCATACAAGGTGTCACAGGTCAAAATTTGCATGTTATTCTCTCACCAAGCTTCATTTAATCCATTTTTTTAAATTTTGAAGGTCCTCGAAGGAAGTATAGCTGATAGAGGCGGACTACAAGTGAGTGACGTTATCGTGCGAATTAATGATAAACCCACAGCAAATTGCACCCATGCTGATGCCCATGAGCTGATTTTACTGGATGAAAATGATCTTCTTTTTGCTGTTCGCAGGTTAGTAACATGAAGATTTTAGGTTTAATGGGATCATGTTCAGACCATGTCAAAATTAATTTGATGTTCGACCGTTATTAAAAAAAGAAGCAAAAGCTTGCTGTTGCCTTACCCCATCTCCTAAACACTTCTCAGATGAATTAGTAAATTCTCAACAGTGTAAAATGCTTACCGACTCTTATAGCGTTAATTAACCAGAAAAGTCACGAAATTCTATTAGCAAATTTTTTGGGATATAAACCGTTATCAAAATCCGCTGTTCAAGATTGTACATCTATATTTTTTGCGTAGAAGCTCACGTCTTCAAATTATTGCAAAAAATTAATTGCGTTTATTTAATGGTATTCTATAGGAACAAGTTATATTTTAATTACAGCCTCGGCACTTCTGATACCTATCTAAATCGTATAGCGTACTCACGTTTTTATAGGTTTGTAAATAACATAAAATCATTATAAACCAGCTGCTTAATAACCAGTAGACACATCAAAATTTTTGATTTTTGAAAAAATACTTCTTTCTGAAATAAACAATAAAAAGACCTCTCTGAGAATTATGTATTTGTTACTTGTATTATGTATCTGCATCCAAAGACCGTAGATACTGACATTAAGTTAAAAGTAGGGATGACAAGTTTTAAAAAATTACCTTTTTAGTGTGCACCCACGAGTCCAAAGCATTAGTCGTCTATTTTGTATACGAGGGTCGCTTTTTATTTAACCTCCGATCGCTTAGTATTATTACCACACAAGTAACAATCGGAGGGGGTTTGCTGTAGGCGATGGTTCATCTCTTTTGTTAAGAACTGTCATTATCGATTTCAAGAAGAAAGTATGCGGTCAGCTACGGGTATTTAAAATGACCGCTGTAATTGATTACCTATCCCGCCAAGTGAGAACTGTGTAGCGTTATTCGTTTCCTGAAACCAGAAGGTCATAGTTCAGCTGAACTTCATCGAAGATTGGGTCGAATATATGAAGAAAACTTCATGAGTGAAGGAAACCAATTAAAAACACGACAACGCCCGTTCGCATATTGCTATTGCCACCCTACTGACCCAACTAGGGAATGCAATCCCGCAGCAAAATTTCAATCCCGGTATTTGCGGGATTGTTAGATGTTAATCCCGCGGGATCCCACAATACTTTAAATAAATTGGCAAATAAGCAATTCTGTGCGGTTAACTTTTGTATTAAAATAAATCGCTAATTATCACAATATTTAGCCTACCTTAGAACTCAAAAAACCTCACCTGTAAAGCACAAAAAGGTGAACTTCTAAGGACTCAAAAATCATAGTACATTTTTAACGAAAAAAGTTTAACAATTATTTAAGAAATAACTTCTTCGTTATGCGTTTCATTCACAAAGTAAACAGAGTCGTCCCCTGGGTCGACAAATTCCTCAGTCCCGCAAATCCCGCGGGTTCCTGCTCCATTTATGTGCGGGATTAATCCCGCAAAAATGCTGCGGGATCCCGGTAATTCGGGATCCCGCGATCCCGGTATTGCATTCCCTAGACCCAACAATTTCAACGAGATATTTTCGATCATCCACTATATAGTCCAGATTTAGAGCGGAATGACAGTACAAATAAATATCAATATTCTTTTTAACAGCGTTGTATTGACAACATTAATATCAACTTAAAATTCTGATTGGAATTCATTAGAACTCCTTTTGAAGGTACTGGAATTCAATGGAATTGTTTGGAAGTTAATGAAATTCTTTGGAAGTCGGACGGAATTTTTTTTTGAATTTTGGAATTCCTTTTCCATCTGGTGTACATATTTTTTCTCAGTGGTTTCTCCTCGAAGATTTCTCAAAACTATTAGCATTTCCACCGTCTTATAAGTTTCTAAGTGCCTTGACCAGTTTTTCACGAATTCTAGTAGCCTTTGGCTTACATGAGCGTTTAGAGTCTTTCGAAATTATCGGATTTTTAGAATCTTTTTTCGTTTTTGCACTCTTTGGATCTAATACTCTGATATTTCTATACCAAGATCTTGATCAATGTATAAAAAATACTGGAACAAACAAACGACACTTTTGATAATCAAAAATGACCGTAAATCAATTTTATTTGTTATTAAAGCTCATTTTTGAAAATGTTCTGTAAGATGAGTGGTGCAAAAAACCAAAGCAAATATTTTCTCCAAATAACACAAAGGTCATGCCATTATTTCCACCTTTTTGCTAGCTATAATTGGGTCCGCGGTAGTTTCTCCGATATTTCATGTGCTCAGTCCGACTTAAAGTCCGGCCCTAGAAGGAAAATTAATAATAGGAATTTTGAACAAGCGCCAAAATCGATTTATGCATCAAATACTATGCGTATACCCCTCAACATCGTTTTTTTGAAAAATCAGGATTAGGGTATTTAATTTTTGGTTTTTGTGTATTGTACATTTTGTAAGGTGCCAGCCATAACATTTTGATTCAAATAAGGCAGTGGAAATTTTCTGGTCTGGAAATGGTCTTTCCTTCTGCTAATAGTTAGTTAGCTAGTTAGCAAAAAGACGACGCCGATCGGCATTTTTATTCAATTTCGTAGATGTTTTGGACAAAATTCGTTTGAACAGTCACGTTTTCATTAAAAAAAATGCAAATGGTACTTAGTAAGACCGTCTTCAAGGACGCAGTTTCATTTGGTGCTGCTTGGCGAAATGTCTATTGCCAACAAAGCGCTATTCTGCATACCTACGTAACCTAAGAAACCACTTTGAGAAAACCCGACGAAATTTTAGCGTTCCAGCCAGACGCACACACGAAAAGCAACAGGACAGAAGCGCGTTGGCGTTGCAACTTTGCCCCAAAAATACCTATCTAAAAATGTATAATATTGCTCCACTGGGCTGTAATGGTTTCTACCCCCAGCTATATTCACTTTAGTAGATTTGCCTCGAAATTCTCGCTGCTGAGATATTCGTCCCTGTAAAATGCGTCTCCTGAATATTCTCCCAATAGTATAGCCGTCCTCAAAAATTCGTCATCGGTAAAACGAACGGCCCTAAAAATTTTCTTCCTAAGATTCACCATCGGAATATTCGCCTGTAAAAAATCTCCACTACAGTGTTCATCACGATGATGAAAAATTTGCCCATCTCCTGAATTATTATACCTATAAGTAAATGGGTCTTCAAAAAACAGATGGGAAGGTCTGAGTATATAGTAGACATATCAAGGGGTGGAAGTGGCATTAAGTCTATTTTTGGCAGATAATATTCTGCGGATAACTGTTTCAGGGGTCAATATGCCCGAGGAGAGAAAGACGCGGGCACAAGGGAAAAGATCTACGGGAGCTATTTGCCTCCTGCGAAAATGGCGATTCTTGTGTTTTCATTAACTGAGCCAAATCTATTTTTCGTTCTTCGGTGAGGGTTGTTTCAGGCGAATATTCAGTAACAAATTTCCCGAACCAGTAGTCTTATTTTTCTGAATATAAACTGTTTAGTTATTAGCATTGAAAGATAAAATATAGATATATATTCAAAGGTATTAGTGAAGGTATGAAGAATACACAGTGGAAGAAGATCAGGCAAGGCAGTCATCCACACAAACAGCTATTGTTGCTACTCATCTTAATCACATGTACCTTTTTTTGATCTCAATATAACTTTACGAACTGTAATGTGTCTGAACATTTTTGATCCTAACTCCCAGAAGAGTTATATAAACATTTATATAAATTAATGTCATTTTTTAGGGACTATTATGACACCGAAGATGAAGGAGTAAGTATAGTTCTATGTTAAGCACTTTAACAATGACACGCTTGGTAGGATGAGAATAACAACGAAGTTTCCAATATTATGGGAAATTACGATCAGTTTATTCCTCCTAACTTTGCCTCAATTCACGATAACCCAGAAGGTAAATTAGGTCGCGAGCAATTAGTGCTTACTTATACATAAGTTTCTTTTAGAGATCCACAACGGCCATTCATCATTCTCCAGTGTCACACAGGATCTAATAGCAGAAGCAATATCAGGTGAAGCTGAAGTTATTCCAGGACAAAATGTTTTAGGGTATATTCGATATAAATGTTAGTATCTATCTAATGGCATCATTTTCAGAGTGAATTTCAATAAAGTGGACCTCTCCCAGTCGACCATCTTAAAGGTTGCTGCAATTCAATTTCAACGGTTGCGCTTATTCGCTTTGCTTTAGGTTATGGAAGATCAGCGACATGCAGAGCAAACAGAGCTTAAAGATAGGCAATGGTCGACGTTTTTACAGAAACCTGAACGACCTATTTTGAAACCCAAATCAAAAGAAGTCGATCAACCGAAGGTAGAGTAAAATAACCAAATATAGCAAACGAGCTCCTGACGATAACTTGGCATTGCGTATTATATAACTAAAGTTATGTTCATTTTGAATTTCGTGTAATTCGGTTCATAACTAACGAAGGTGTCAAAAGAGCTTTCCTAATTTTTTGGTCTCCATTGCCAATTCACGAACTCCGATTTACAAATTTGCTAAAGAATCCACCTGCAAAATTTTATCCTAATCGGTCCATTCAGTTTCGAGATACCTACGTGCTAACAGATAGACGGACGGACAGACGGACGGACAGACGGACAAACGCCCCAAAATTATGAACTCCCAAGGAGCGCGTTAATAACGTAGATTTCAAAAGCGTTAACTTCTGAAATCCTTCTTTTAGGCGCCTCCTTACCAAGTTGTTATTAAGAAACAGAAAAGATGGGGAGACACTGCACCATTGGTAAGTCACTTCGTAGTTGATAGATATCATTCAAAGTTATTTAGGAAGTGCAAGCCGAAGTAACCGAAGACACTGTCGATCGGGACGAATCGCCACCTCACGACGAAATTGCGGGGTCTGATTTAGACGTTGACCAAGAAGAATGTGAAGATTGTAGGGGTTCAGAAAATGAGGATCAGTTAGTTGAACTCGATCAAGACGTGGCGGAAGTAGGGGACCCAGAAAGTATTGCGGATGAGGAGGAAATAGAATTAGCAACGGAGGAAGGTAAATCTAGTAAATTGTGCATGTAATATTGTAAACTCAACTTTTGAGACTGCGCCCTGTAGAACAACCCGCAACTCCACCGATGGAGGAGCAGCTTGCACAGGTTCAAATGCAACTGGAGGCACTGGCACAGCTACCGTCGTCGATACAAGACACCTTGGATGCTGTCACAAAGCAGCTTTGCAAAATCTTAAACGCAACACAATTGCGAACGGAAGAGGTAGGCGCTGCCAAAAGTCAATGCCAAGATCTATCTTTGACCTTAATGATAATTGCAACTATTACTTCCTATTATTTTTAGAATAAGCTCTCCGATTCAGAGCATTCTAGTAGAGAAGCAAGTGTAGATCGCGCACTAGAAGGTAGTAGGTGACATTAGTATGTTCAAGAAATAAAGGGCTGTTTGTAGAAAAAGGTTTGGCAAGCGAAGAAGAGGAGGGCGAGATTTCCCAGAAGCAAGAACATTTCGAAGAGACCGATTCGTTAGACTTATCTGAGAGGGGTTCAAATTTCAACGACGAAGATAATACGGAGGTTGAATTGATTTCCAATCAATCAGAGTACGATCAAGATTTAGAGGAACAAATTAACGAGGAGGAACATCAAAGGTTGCTAATGGAAGAGGAAAAACTCGCGCAACAAGAAAGGGCAAGTATCTCCGAGCTCTCTTATCTTTTCTTTCGACCATTGTTTTTGTCGTTTGTTTCAAACATACGTTTACACACTTTTAGAAAATGAACCCATTAGAAGAATCGCACCAGCGTCGCTTGGAGCAGCGTCCCACTAACCCACTAGCTCCCGTTCAACGACCGATTATTTTACCAGGTGGTCGCCGGTGGAACGAGCCCGATGACGCTTTACCAGCGCCCAAGAAGAAATCGGGCATGACCGACGAGCGAATTTGTGAAACTTTAGATATGTATTCCGAAACCATTGTAGGACACACAAAGGGGTACGTTGTTTGCCGAGAATATATTATTCAATGGCTGCTCTTTGCAGGTTAACCAATGGAACAAGATGTGGCCTTGGTCTGACGAGAGCAAGCAAATATACAGGTATTGTAACCCTGCTTAGAACCAAGCGAAATTTTAGCTACAAATATTCGTTACAAAACGGATTTATTTTGATCGCGTTTTCTTTGTTTAAATTAGTTTGGAATTAATTGCGCCTTACTCATATGTAAATTAATGAGGACCTACTCATTTTACCTATTAGATAAACAATTTTGGCAATGATTGCCAGATTATATGGCAGACATTAAAAGCACCATTCATGGCAAGGTTTCGCAGAATAGCAACAAGATATTGGGCCTTTTGATCGTTTAAATACAAGAACACACAGTTAAAAGAATATCCTGAAAATTGATTGATTTGTAAATTTTGCTTTTTATTTAAAAATGCCCGACATTGCAATTGATAGCTAATGACACAGTAATGGTCTATGCCAATGATAATATTGTGACTTGTCCTAAACTTTCATAACAAGAAGCTGACATTACTTCTTGGCAGAGAACAAAAGCATTCATAAAGAACAGAAATGCCGCTCTAGAGCAGACATCACAACAGCAAAATACCAATAACCTGCAGAATTACTTAACTTCACTTTAATTAAAATAAAAGATAAAGAAATTGTAGAAACGTTTTTAATAACTTAAATTTAAACTTTGTAAATAATCTTTGTAGCAAGAATTGATCATTGCAAAATCATACACGTGGTCGTTATTTCGATTGATATGTCAGCAGCTTGGCCATTCTCCAGGTCTCCGCGCTTCTAACAGTAAGTAATGAAGTCTAGAGTTAAAAGTTGGAGTTTCGGAAGTAAGTCACTGTCGTGATTATCTACTTGTAAACTAGTCTTTACCTCGGAACGATCACTATGTCTATAGCCTGCGGTAAGTAATACCGATGTAGAAGCTGAGCGAAGTGTTCATTATTAACTTCATTTATACTTTGACCCTGCAAAGACATGATCCTTTTTGAATTTTGGAATGCTTATAAGTTATAACCAATTTTTACGCTCACTACAAATAAATAGTAAGAAAATGATCATGTCTGGCACTTGTTGAGCAAACCGGACAGAGTGAAGCATGGGGCAACAGTAGTAAAAGGTACTGTAAAGATTGCAGTTACTTTAGTATAAGTGTGGATACGTCGTACTGTAAATCTTTGACGAAACTATTTTTTGTATTTTTTAAAGGATCAACTTCTTGAAATACCAACCGCCACCGAAAAATTTGGATTATCTTCAGAAATCGGAAGTTTACAAACTGATCCACGATATGGAACCTCCTGCAAAAGGAATTGCAACGAGACCTGGAGTAGTGGCAGCCGAACAGGATTATTACCAACAGGTATATACTTAATTAAACCATTTATCCTAGTGTGTGACTTAAGCATATTAAATTTTTAGAGGAACTAGTCTTCATTGTGCAACCGACGTCATTTAATCTTAAGGAGATGAAGAATCAACATTATATGTCAAAAAATGTTATTTGAGATTATATCCTTAATGATTTGTTTTTTCTGCAATAAAAACTTTATTAGTGAATCTAATATAAAGCAAGTGGGATCTGTGGTTGACAACAAGCGTTTCATCTTCCTTTTCAATGGCCAGATATAGATAGACCATTTGAAAATTGCACGCTACGGAATAAATTTCAAATAGTACAATATTCCTTTTTCGCGAAGAAATAGTTTAATGGTCTTACGAAAAACGACACGTCTGTTATCCTGCAGTTCTAATTATGCTTTGCCAACAGTTGGGTTTTTTTTCTTGGAACATTCAAAGGTCGGTGGCTGAAAGTATTCTGTCAACACCACAAACAAATGTTGGGTCTTCCCCGTGGTCAGACCAAAACCAGCCCTTCTCTGATGGTCACAGAACTCCTCGAACTGCTCAAATGCCATATACGGTTTTTCGGTACGCGGTATGCGAGTTCGCGCTGATTGGTTGTTGTCTCCAGCAAACGGTGCCGGTCTGTTAAAGTGCACCATTTTCGGATTACGACTGGACATCTTGTTGATCTGGTACAATACGTCCTTGATTCTTTTCACAACCTTGTAGGGATTCGCCGTTCTGTTTCTAGGGATTGTACAACTACACCAAATCATAGGCGTTATTATCCCTCCTTCTCTAGATCGCATATCTAACTTTGTTTCATCCTGCGACTGGAATTCTGAAGACCTGATCTCGCCAAGTTATGAATGCCGTTCAGTTTTCGTTTAAGGGGGTTGACATACATAATCTTCACCCGTCAAATCTTCCCGGAAATCGCATCGAAATCTTAGTTCCTGGAGACAGTAATTCTTTTCTTAAAGGTCTAGAAATTAAGTACTTTACCCAAATTTCAGTTTATTTCAAATTCGTTACTCGTCAATACACATGGGATTAACATTAAAACAAACGTTAGTCAAATGTTTTATTACCTTCATTAAACAATGATGCAAACGATTGGTTTACTTGTGCTATGGGGAGGTTTAGTAACAAAGTAACCAGCCGTTTTAATTAGACTATCAATTTTAGAAATTTCAACCCTGCCAATTAAGTCAGCGAAATTAACAATAGCTACACAAATGTGTTGCAGGAAATGCCATTCCACATAGTCGCGTGGGGCATCAAAAGAAGCGATCTTCATTTATATGAATTTTTTCGGAAGTCGGTGGGCCGCTCAATTTAATTAAAAAGTTGTAATTTTTGAATGTAAATTTAAATAACCGAATACGCCGGCCGGCTTGGAATTTCCTACGGTCCCTCCATGGTAGCCGAATTTTATAAAAGGTTAACGTTTACTCCGTTTGAGTTTTTCCGAGCAGATCCGGCTTAACGCCCTGAGAGGCCCTAAGCAATGAGGATTTTTGGGGCCCCTTTTTTTCTTTGTGGACTAATTATACCCAATTGATAAAATACATAGAGTCAGAAGATTGGTAAAAGTATACATACATAGAGGGTTGTGATTTAATAACAAATAAATTCAATAAAAATGAAATGGAGGTGTGTTCGTAAATATGCTTTGCAGGTATACAGGGTGCACAAAAAAAGCGAGCAGAAAAATATTTTTACTCGTATATTATTGCCGGACCGGAATCGTACCCATAGTGCGAATCGGCCGTAAAGCTGAGTGCGGAGCGGAGGTCCAATGGTCTCGACATCCTCACCTTTTTGGTTTCTATGCCTCTTTATTCTCGGGTGACGATTTAATTGCTTCAGTGTCCCCGAGACCGTTCATAACAAGTTTAATTTTTGGAAAAGCCGCAAGTGCGAGGCCCGTATTTCGGAAAAGTCATGTTACCGTTTATTTCATGGGGCGAGCATTCCACCGGGCGTCCATTGTACATTATTATTTCGAAATTATTAGTACCTATATTTAAACATACTTGTTTAAACCAACAGTATTTAATATTTATTTAATAAATTATTTATTTAAGACTTTGTGCAAAGAATTAATCCAGTTTCTTATTTCTCATTTTCTCATTATTTTTTGACTGGTGCTCTAAGCACGTGCTTAGTCTGCTTATGCATAAATCCGGCCCTGTTCCCGAAGCTTCCGGGACCCGAACCAACCCTATGTCTCTTTTTGTGTAGTTTCTTTTTCAAAGGCTACAAATGACACTGATGTGTCATTGCTATCCTTTGAGGTTTATTTATCCTCTCCAAGACAGAAAAATAAACACTATGGGGTCAGACCATGCTGTAGTTCAACTCCCTGGCTACGAGCCTGCTTAGGGGAAACGCTCAAGTTGCTGAATTGTTGGACCAATGGGGGTTTACAAATTACATTCATTGCTCCTAAAACAATCAACTTACTTTGCGAACATTTAGATCTTATTAAACGCTATATGCCAGTGGAAATAAATCGAACACTCCGTTCTCTACATGAATTGGCTGGATGGAAAGCCACTGAATATCGAACAGGACCACTACTTTAAAAAAATGTTGATCAAGCCATTTACGAAATTTTTTTATTGCATTCCAGTACTACTATATTAATATCTCGTAAACATACTGAAACTTCTGGTAGGTACTAGAATTTGTTATACATAGTGAAAGAATTACATACATGGTCGAGAATGTCTTATTTATAATGTATCTACATAATATAGGTATTGAGCCACTTGGCGGGATGATGATGTTAATTATTTTGGAACTGCTTTTCCTTTTAAACATTTTTTGGGCCAACTTAAGAGATTGATACAACAAATTATTTGTCTAATTAAAGAAATTCATGTTCAATGGCTTCATCCCGATAGTACAATCAATAGTAACATTTTCTTTCTAAAATTAAATTTTTCCGTTAAGAGTGAACATCATCACGGTCTTCATTTAAACTTTCATCGTAAATTCAGACAATTCAGAAAACTTATATCAAACGATGATAATTGATTGTTATTCGCAAAGTGATTGGTACTGCTATGTTATTCAAATACACAATATAATAGTTGCTATAATGACGCCACCATATTTTTAATTGGTAAGCTGATTCAAAATATAATTTCTTTATCTCGATCGTACTTACTCATCGCGTTAGGAAATATTTAGTATACGTGATTAACAAAATCATTATCGATCATGGAATTATAACAATATTTACGCCAAATTCTTTAGTACTCCCTCGAATTAACAATGCGTCATGAGCGTCGTTCTGTACCTATATGATGCCATTTTCTTATATTTCTATAGATCACTTTTATTTTAATTAGTACACTTAGTGTGGGTAGAACTACACCATAACTACGTTGAAAACTGACGTCATTTACGATGTGTCTCAGGCGCGTCATTATTTCGTCCAACGTACGTCGTTTTTTAAGTGTTATTGACGTTAGAATGTACCAAATATGAACATCATTTTTACGTCACCGTGCTAATTGATATACGCAACAATTGAAAGCAATAGCAATTACTAATAAATCCCTAAAGAGCTCTAAAAAAGCGACCCTGTTTTATTCAATTAATCTTAAATAGTTCGTTACAAAAGTTTTCAATGAAATGTCCCTAATTGAGTTCAGATTTTGAACTGATTATCAACTTTTGTAAATTGAAGAGTAAGTAATTTCATTTCGTTATTAAAAATGACCGCATGAGAGAAAGCGTGATCACGAGCAAAGTACCCATTTATTTACAGACAGTTGATTACGCAAGTTTGCTGGTTACGCATTACCTGCCCCGTCGCAAATGTTTCACACAGAAAATTACAAAAATTCATTGTGAGGTGAATAGTGTGACTTGTGAGTGTATTTTATGATAGGAAAGGTTAAACGTGCACCTATCTGTACTGTAGTATTGACGTTGTTCAGGTTGAAAGTAGTACATGGTTACGTGAATCATGAGTGTTATTGCGGTAATTTTACTAGTAATCACTATTTGTATTGTTTTCATTCCATGGTACAACAAGCATAGAAGATATATTAAGCACTTGGAACGATACCCCAGTCCTCCAAGGGTTTTTTTACTGGGAAATGCACTGGATTTTAGACAACCTACAGGTATGGTTTTTTAAATTTTTGAATTCGGTATTTAAAAACACTGTTTTTTGGATTATGACCGATTGAAAACAAATAAACCCCTGAATATCGCACTAATTTGCTTATGATGCGTTCTTTACAATTTAAATTTTAATCTTTAATTTAATGTTAAATTTAATTACTAAAGTAGTTCATAATGTAGCTTCAAGATGAACTCTAAATTCAATATTGTACAAACATGTTCTGGTGAAGAGCTGATCGATGTTTAGAGTATGTATAAACTTTTTTTCAGACAAGTGAAAGTATTGGTGAAGATTACCACACACACACCTTTGTTGCATTTTTGAAAGAGTTATCCTTCCAGTAGATATATTCAAAATTTGACAACTTTGAGAGATTTTTTATCAAATTGATAACGAAATAAAATTGTTTTTTAGATTAATAATCGCGCATAATTGGGGAACCAATGTCCATTCAGGTAAACAAAAACGAAATTACATTACTTTCAAAGGAGTGACGCATGGTTAACGTATTTGCAGTTTATCATTCATCGATAATAATTTGCCATCAAACTATACATAAAATGAGTACGCATTTGCAAACAATCCTTTATTCTTTACGGATTCCTAAACAAGTCCGCTCCTTTTATATCGAGAATCGGGGAATACGAGAACCGTTTAATAATGCTGTGCCATTAGTTATTGGTCACTTAGGTAAACCAATCACGGAATAATGCACGTTTTATGTTTCTCAACGATAAAGTGCCTATCAGCCACAAAATTACAGACTTAGGTATCGATGATAAGGTGCTTGACCATCAGTAATAATGGTATATCCTCATACCTAAAAGTAGTAAAGCACTATATGCAGTTTTCAAGAAAAAGGTTTGAAAAATATCCTGCTGATGTGACTTAGTAGTTTCCATGCTCCATTATGTCATGCAATAATTACAATACAGTGTAAGTTTTATCGAATTGGGACCAAATTTATTACTTTCATATGCTTTTAAGAGGGTGGCCACCAGCTTAATATTTTTTAATGCATAGCGGGTGGTGTTACGTCATTTAAAGGCACATACCATTCTTGAATTAGATTCTGCCACTATAAAAATTCAAAATCCAAATTCCTGTGTGAGGCGTAGTGGAACGCGGGAAGACATGCAACCACGGAAAAAAGCATTTGCGAATTAAAATACAAAATAAGTGCATGTTAAATATGATAAAACACGTAGGTTTTCTGAAATTTAGTTTACTGCAAATTTCTACTTTAAAGCTATGTAATGAATATTTTTGTTTAGGGCACGGAAAAAATCAAAGGGATTGGCATAACTTTTTACAATCACTAGCCCGAAAAAGGCCTATTACATTAATTTCACAACTATTTACAATGTATTTCTTATGGCAATAATTCCATGGCTGATTGGGACTCAAACCAAATTCATTCGTTTATTGTCTTGCATAGGCACAATCGACACGGCCATAGAATTATTGCCATAAGAAATAAGTACATTGTAAACTTCGAGGCAAAAATGCCTGGGGCATAAAGCAATCGAGTTTGGTCTTTCTCTCAACAAAATTGGTGAATAAATCGATTTGACGTAGGTCGTTTGAAAAAGTCGAAAGGTACTTCACCTACACTGATCTTGTTCTCAAACCAAAATAACTAATTATGCAGAGTAGAACATACCACCACCATGATAAATCGCTGAAAACCACCGATCGCACGAGAATTTTGTGTAGGCGGGAAATAGTGGTGTTATTACCACAGGCTAACGTGTAACAACACAATGACTAACTTTTCGTACCATTTCAGCTTTTATACGAAAGTTTGGCGAATACGCCAGATTATATGGAGATGTAGTTAAAATCTACGTGGGTCCATTTCCTACTAAATTGCTGGTTTCAAATTACAAACTAGTGGAGCAGGTTCTCAGCTCAAACAAAAACTTGAATAAAGGAAAAGAATATCAATATTTATCCAAGTGGTTGGGTAGGGGATTACTCATTTGTGATGGAGGTAAGCGAAATTTTTAGAAAATCTTGATCTTTTGAACTAGTTCATTAATTTTCCAAGTCGACGCAAAGTTACGAAGTCTTGTGCCCAGTTGCACCAACAAAATTAAGGCTTGCTTAAAGTTAAGTTGAACTTAAAACCTATGGCAACGATTATTGAGACAATCGTTGCTATGGTACTTCAGTTATGCTTAACTTTAAGAGATGCTTAATTTTGACGGTGCAACTGATGGCCATTATTGAATTATATGTTTCTATGTTACGTAGATAGCAGATGGAAGAGTCACAGGAAACTCCTTCTTCCATCATTTCACGTGCAAGTATTTGAAGAGTTTCTCCATGTGTTTGAAACCAAGACACAGCTGTTAGTGCGAAAACTGGAAACAGAGTTGGATTCTTCGTCATTTGATATTCAACCGTACATACAGTTGTGCTCTTTGGACATCATTTGCGGTAAGTTTCATATTATATTAATCAATAATAACATTATGCGGGTCACTCTGTAATTGGGCGCATGCCTGTTGAGGGCCCAAAACAAGAGAGGGATAATAAAATAAAATAAAATAAAATAAAATAAAATAAAATAAAATAAAATAAAATAAAATAAAATAAAATAAAATAAAATAAAATAAAATAAAATAAAATAAAATAAAATAAAATAAAATAAAATAAAATAAAATAAAATAAAATAAAATAAAATAAAATAAAATAAAATAAAATAAAATAAATTTATGTAGATCTGCAGTCAGTTGATTGTTGGTACCTTTTAATAAACATCGAATGATGAGTTATGATGGCTCTCAACTTTGGCACTCTGAGAAAGGATCAGAGTGGTCTGATTTTTGAACTGATCTATGGTAATAAAAAAAGTGAAATGAAAAACGAGATCATACAGTTTTGTTTTGTTGGTATAAACACAATGCAATTGATTTTCATTTGCAGAAGCAGCATTGGGAACATCAATTCATGCGCAAGAAGATGGTGATTCAGATTATGTGAAAAGTATTAGTACTATGTGCACACTGTTTATAAAGAGGTCGTTCAATCCAAGGCTACGTAACAACTTCTTGTATAAATATTCAGACGTGTACAGGGAGGAAGAGCGCGTTATAAAAATCCTTCATCGTCATAGTAGCGAAATTGTAGAACGCAGAAAAAAAGAATTGCAGCAAATGGAACTTGTTCAAGATGAATTTGGACTAAAGAAGAAGCTTACATTGTTGGATTTAGTACTGGTGAAACGCAATGACGTTCCCACGCTTACCGACATTGCAATTAGAGAAGAAATTGACACCTTTATGTTTGCTGTAAGTTAATCTTAAACATTAATTTAGCCAATCTAAATGGTAATTACCATTATACCCATTCAGAGGTAAAACTATTCTGAATGTGCGTGGATAGCCAGTATAGGGTCCTAGATAGGGTCCAATCATACAAATTTATGATATATCTATCAATAAAAAAGTAGGCAAGAAGAGTGAAATATACCAAATTGCTTTTTTTACATTATAGGGCCACGACACTACTGCAGCCGCAATGGGTTTCACAATATTTTGCCTTTCTGAATATCCACACATTCAGAATAAGGTAATGGACGAGTTAAATGCGATATTTGTAGGCGACGTAAACAGATCAGTTACACTTCAAGATATTAACGAAATGAGATACCTCGAGGCTGTGATAAAGGAAGCGTTACGAATTTACCCACCTGTACCGTACTATTCTAGAATGGTGACCGAAGAGCTTAACTTTGGTGTCTTGAACTATACCAATAGTACTTTTTATGATAATGTATAGGTCCTTTCAGAAGGCGGAATTATCCCTCAGGGCATTTCGTTGTTATTGGACGTATATGGACTGCATCATAATCCGGAGTATTTTCCGGATCCAGACAAATTTTTACCTGAACGATTTTTGGGCGATCGAGGTCCAAATGGATTACCATATTCTTATATACCATTTAGTGCCGGACCAAGAAGTTGCATAGGTAATCTAAATTACAGTAGATTAGCACTTTTCACGCTAAGTTTCAGGACAAAAATTTGCAATGTTAGAAATGAAAACCGCGCTATCAATTTTACTGAGACATTATGAATTTCTTCCTTCCACCCCAAAACATATCCTTTCATTGTCGGCAGTAATCGTTTTATCATCAAGTAATGGTGTTCGTGTTCGTATAAGGAGGAGAATAAAGAGGACAACATCACCAACTGGATACAACTCTTGACCAATCAAGCTAAATAAATCTGCGGATCATTGATTACTGCCAATACTATTTTTGTTGCTGTGGTATTTTAAAGAATAGACACCCTAGAGAAAAAACCAAATAAATCTGGGAAATATACGAAAAGGCTCAACATTGACAGTACTCTAGTCTTGTAATGATTTATCTGTTGTTTATAACTAAATATACCGCATATTTATAAATAGCAGACGCGTTATCCCTTCGGAAAACTCTGTACCCAGGTGACGGAGATAAATTGTGGGCCATTGTCGGAAACTATCTCCCTTTGGAACCCGTATCGCCCGAATACTTCATTCTCCAGCCGATTGACTACAGCGTCGGTGGTGGTTAGCCGGAGAGGGAAAGCTTCTACCCCATGTTGTATAAATCCGTCACTAACGTATAAACCGATTTCCCAGATGTGAGGTGTGTATGGTCCCATTACGGTCGAACGGAAATCACCTCCCACGGACGAATGGGTTGGCGTGGTCGGACAGTGGTTTTCCTGACATGGGGCCTCAGCTTTGCCCACGGTGCATACCCAAACAGTCCGATGTAGTTCCTACGTCTTCTTCTCCATTTTCGGCAGTGGGTAGTGGGCAGTATATGGCACGTTCTGTTTCTTCCGCTCCCTGGGTAGCCTGCTGTTGTGAAGTCGTGGTAATGCGTGCAGCGACTGTTCTTTCATGTCGACGGGTTACTACAGAAGATCTCCGCTGGTTGGATTTGCGGTAGAGATATTCGTCGTGGGAATTAGTGTAGTTCTGGTAGAAACGGTTTTGGGCGGGCTTCTGCGGGCCCCGTGTCTGGATTAGGTTCCACCGTAAGTTATCAAAATGCCAAAGCGTGGTGGTTGTTTCCTGCTGGCTTGCTTCACGCGTCGCAAGTTCCTTGCCACTCGATGTTGGCGAGGAATGGGTGTCCTGTGTCGTCCTGTCTGCTGGTGCGGTAGGCGGGGGTAGGAGGCGACCTGATGTCTTTCTTCGGTCAATTTCTTTTTCCACGACTGGTCTGTGGGGTTCCTCGACAGGTAGTCGGGGAGTTCGTTTTCCCTTGCCGGGAAATGTATCACGTCGAAAGGAGAAATTATTGCAAGTCTCAGGGCCATGGTAAAGTTTACTCTGTCGGTCCTTCGTTTCGGTCTAACAAAGGAGCGCTTCGCACTGTCCGTTTTGAGTGTGACTTTCTGTCTCCAGTATGGTTGGTATCGCTTGACCGCCCAGACGACCGAAAGGGCCCTCTTGTTCATTCACATGATACTTGCTCTGTGCTCCGTTTAGTTTTGCGCTCGCGTAACTTATGATGTTGCGCTGGTTGGGACGGGGCCTCCTGGTATAGTACGGCTGCGATGCCTTTGCTACTGGCGTCAGTTTGTAGGTTGAACTGCAGCTTGAAGTCCGGACGGCACAGCTTAAGGGGTTGGCTGATGGCGTCTTTCAGTTGAGCGAATGCTTCGGCGGCTGCTTCGGTCCATCCGTACGGCGTGTTCTTCCGCAGTAGGTCGTCGAGAGGGCCTTGCATTTCTGCGCATCGCGGGACGTAGTTTCGGATCCAATTAGTCAGTCCCAGGAAACTACGCAGCTGCTTCCTTGTTTTAGGCGCTTCGGCGGTGCGGATGGCTTCGACGTGCTCCCGTAGCGGTTTGTTGCCGTCTGCTTCAATGTTGTGACCAAGGTACTGAATGGATTGTACTCCAAAGCGGGAATTGATAGGCGGCTCCGTCAGGTGTCGTGAAGGCGGTTAAAGGTTTGGACGCATCATCCAGTGGTACTTGCCAGTATCCCGAAGTCGGAAATTAACTAAATTCCGAGTTTAAAAATTACTACATGTGGCCGTTCTCCGCCTTCGTAATAATGACACCAATCGAAAGAAGATATTTTTTTCTTTATATAATGATATACGAATGAATCCATTTTCAGTTCTATTTATCATTATTAACCATCTTCGAGATATTTAATTTTGTATTGCTGTCTGTCTGTCCGTGTGCACGATAAGTTTGTATAGAAACGTCCTATCGCTTTGAAAATTGAAACGCCTGTTCTTAAGGATATAAGAAAGGTCGCTATTGTTTTTCAGCTACGTAGACTAACGGGGCAAAAAGTTACAGCCCAAAAACTTCTCAAATCCAAAAAAGGGCTTCTTTTATAATTCTTGTTACAAAGAACATATGAATGCCCGGTTTTCTGTGTTAGTAAATGTTCCTTAAACCCCAGGTAACTATGCAGGTGAATAAAAAAATGCGCATGTGCAACCCAACTTTTGTATTTGCGCAATCCCAGTATTTTTTATTTGTTAAGATATTTAATTGAAATTTAATATGTAGGCACCTCGAGTAAAAGTAAAATTAACGCCGAATCAAAAAATTTGCTTAGTGCATAAGTACGCAATCTTGTCTTTTTTTGTTTGTTATGATTTTTAAGCGAAATTTTGAATCTAGGAACCTCTTTTAAAAGTAAAACTAATTCCGTTTCAAACAATGTGTTTTAGAAGCTATTCCGATCTGGTGGGACAGAATCAACCCCCCAAGGCGCGTTATAAAAATGATGCGTGAAGGTCTCGAGGATCATTCGGTATTCAGTTGTATCGGATTTTTTTATTAAAAATTCGTTATTATTCGTTATTCAATTCGAAATGAATATCAGTTTACGACAACTGTCAATAATTTTTTTTGTAAAATTTATTCACTGGGGAAAGCTGGTATTTATAATAAACGCAGGCGGAAATAGTTACTGTACGCGATGTTTGTTTTTCGTGCATTTTAATGAGCGTCCCACTACGTCTGTGTCAATTCTTTAGAAAATTTTCATGGCTTACCATGTACATGGTAACCATGTTATTTTTTGTCGTTAAAATGACTGATACATTTTTTCAAGATTTAAATTACAAAGAAGGTGGCCCTTCTACCTCATAATGCCATAACCACAAAAATTACCTAGAAATAATATTACATACAAGTTGAAAACTTTGAGAAAAAACTAAATACGAAAAACGTTCAAATTCATAGACTGAAAACTAAAACATCTCGCTTCTCAACAGGTTAGTCAATTAAATATTTTGCATAGTTATCAAATTACCGGGCTTTTCTTGTCAAAAAATCGTATGGAAATTGGTACTTTTGTTCACGACTTTCTATGAACAGTACCTAGCATTAAATTTTGACACAAAATAGGGAATGTCAATGAAATTATTCAGATATGAGTTGTCGTGTACACGGACAGACGAATAGACGCACGGACAGACAGACAGCAATACAAAATTATAAACGATCTCGAGGATCGTTAATAATGAGAAATACAACTGAAAATGAACTAATACGTATATCATTAGATAAGGAAAAAAATCTTCTTACGATTGGTGTCATTATAAACCCGCTAAGACCTAAATTATCATGGGGAGCAACGATCTGCAAAAAACCTTTTTCCCATGTTAATGTTGGTTTTTGAAATATTTTTATTTTATGACCGTGTATATAATAATTTAGAGGTACTTTTAGCAGAGCAGTGCAGCAGCTGCGCTTGGAAAGTCGTACCTTCCAGCGTGTCTACCGAGACCTTAGCAACATGTCCATGAACTTGGCAGGCCTACTACAGCAGACCATAGTTCTACTTACTCATATCGTTAGTGCTCCGTTAGTGCACGTTAGTGCCGCTGAAGAAATCGTTAGTGCATAAAAGGAAACTTACTATTTTTAAAAAATATTTGTGGGCCTGCTAACTTCATGCCAGCAGACCCATTTGAGAAAATCGATTCAATCTTTGCACTAGTTAAACTAGCAGCGTTAGTGCTCGTTAGGGCCGCCAATATAAACGTTAGTGCTCAAAGTGCAACAACTCAAAACGTCGTAAAAAGGGGTCTGCTAACTTCATGCAGCTGACCCACATTTGTCAAATTGGCTCAGTCCTAATGCAAATTTGAAGCGGCTCGTTAGTGCTCGTTAGTGCTTCACATGCGAACGTTAGTGCTGCAAGGGATCCGCGTCAAAAAGGTACCAAACCACCTCAAAATTAAACTTGACTTATTGGGACCTGCCAACTTCACACCAGTAGACCAACGAGTGAAATCCGTTTGATTTTCTACTTTAATCGACCGGTAAGTATTAGTGCTCGTTAGTGCCGCCAATATAAACGTTAGTGCTCAAAGTGTAACAGCTCAAAACGTTTTAAAAAGGGGTCTGCTAATTTCATGCAGTAGACGCACATTTGTCAAATTGGCCCTGTCCTAATGCGAATTTAAAGCGGCTCGTTAGTGCTTCACTTTCGAACGTTAGCGCTGCAAGAGATCCTCGCCAAAAAGGTACCAAACCACCTCAAAATTAAACGTGGCTTATTGGAACCTGCCAATTTCACGCCGGTAGACCAACAAACGAAATCCGTTTAATTTTCTACTTTAATCGATCTATTAGTATTCGTGATCGTTAGCGTCGCAAAAAAAAAGTTAGTGCTCAAAGCGCAAGAGCTCAAGTGTGAAATTATGGGTTTGCTAAATTCATGCAGCAAGCCCACATTTATTAAAGTGGTCCTTCCTTAATGCAAATCTGAAGCTCCTCGTTAGTGCTCGTTAAGACTTCACTTGTAAATGTGAGTGCATGGAATGGATCCGTGTCGAAAAACTATCAAAGCATCTCAAAAATTAACTATTACTTATAGGTTCTGCTGACCACACAACAACTAGCAAAATTTGTTTCCAATCCAAAAAAAAGAAGAGAATGAACGAAATGTATTTTGGAACTATTTTTAATTTTTTACAGGCTGATAATGAAATGAATTTCTTAAAGCATCGGAGTGAAAAGTCGTAAGTATTTTCTTTTACTAAAAAGGCAAACGAGTACGATAAGGAGATAGTGGCGTTTGAAAATCAACAAACTTTCCCCCCAAAAATTAATTCCGACATACCGTATATTGTCAAATACCTTAACATATTAATACAAGAAACTCGCTAGAATTTGCATTTGAGTTACGCGAGACACGGAAAAGAGCGCCATCTACACGGCCCGGTGTAGACTGACGTATAATGAAGGCGTAAATTAATATTATATTACCGACGTTATCAGTTTCCTGTATTATTATATATTTAAGGTATTTGATATTGTGTAGAACGATAGATACATATGAGTGTATTTCCGAGTTCATTTTGGTCCAGACATCCGACAATGTTGTGGATTTTGGTGTTACTAGGGAATCCTCACTGGGCATGACAGAGCCGTTTC